ATTCTAAGACTTTTAGGAGACCTGATAAATGGAGAGCTATGCCATAGTCATAGTCATAAATTTGACACTGACATTGGCATACATCATATGTGCAGATAAGGTGATACACACATAGAAATACTGTTGCTTAGGTGACAGGTCACTTGAGGAAGGGGGAACCCCTCCTTTGAGCAAGGTCATTTAAATGTCAATGCTAATATAAGCTACAAACTAATAAACTTGAAATAGTGGAGGTTACTAATGCACACAGGCAGAGTTTAGAGCAGCTATTGGGTCTACCAAGGAACATGGGTACTTCAATTCAGTTAGAGTCCTGCTTAAAATCTATTCTGAAAAAGTGGGATGGGGACAGAACCTTGGAACAAAGGAAACCCTAACCACTACTCTTGGGTTCAATTTTAAAATTTTGCCTAAAACCTGATGTGGAAAAAAAAAAAAATCACAATTCCTAAGGTGCTACAGAGTGATCCTGCCATTTAGGAATCAGTATCCAGGGGTAGTGAGAGAAAGAAAAGAAAACTCTGGGCATACCTCACTTCCTCTGGAGGCATTTTGGGAGCAGGTCAGAGGTCAGGAATCAAGTCTGGAGATGCTCAACATTCTTCATGTTGGGTGTAGAAGCTGACTACCTTCTTGATTCCAAGAACCCAGTAATTATGAGACTGCCTGTGATTTTATGCTGGATTTGGAGGTAGGGAGACCAATTGACCATTAAATACAAATGGGTAAACAACAATGGACTGCGATTTCAGAGGCAGGGGATGTGCCTGTCAGGAAGATTTCCTGAGGGTAAAGAGCATGCCTCCAGAAGCATGGGCTGCTCACTCAGAGCAACTGTGAAGGACCAAAGAATGGAACCAATAAGCAAAGAGAGAAAGGAGAGGGACAATGTGACATACAGGCCTTCAGTACCACAGGTCCCCAAATGTGGTCCAAGAGGCAAGGAATTTGTGGGGACACTGTCAAACAAAAACCTCCAGTGTTTGTCACCTGACCTGTGCACAGCATCTGTGAATAACAAAAGCCAATTTCTAATTCTTTCAATTTAAGGAGTTCACTAGCTACACTCTCACCTAGCCATGTCAGTAGATTTCTGACAGATTTCCAAGGACTCTGTAAGCTTTCTACACTATACCTCATAGGAGGGGGCTATCTCCTTCTCTGAAAGCAATTGGGCAGGAAGTAAACATGAAGACACCTTGAGCTTACTGTCATTTACAAAGACTTGGATTAGGAATGAACTCTGTATTTTTAAGGCTAGAACTGCCCTTAAAATAAAGGGGGGTGGAGATCAAGCCACAGGGTGTCTTAATTAAAACAAGAGGCAAGCCTCTGAGGATCTTAGAGCATTTATTTCTGTCTCTTGTTTTAAATTCCTTAGACTGTGTCTGCAAGTCCTGAGAGGCACTGGACATGACTGACTTCTGAGTGTGAAATAAATCCAAAGCAGCTTACTGCTTCCCTGAAGCATGTCTATCTTGGAACACATTGGAAGCCTATTGCCTTTTTTTTTTTTTCCCCTGAGATAGGGTCTCCAGGATGACATTGAACTCCCAATACCCCTGACTCTACCTCCCAAGTGCTGGAATTACAGCATGCTTAGCTCCTGAAAGGGCTTCTTCCTGAGGGAGCCCCTCTCCTTTACTAAATAATCCTCCACCCTCTGCAGTGGCTCTGGCCCCTCTCCACCCCTCTGCCTGTTCTTTACAGGGATGCTCACCTTCTAAAATTGACGTTGGTACCAATGATGGACTTGAACGCAAGATACACACACACACACACACACACACACACACACACACACACACACACACACACGAGCCAAAATGGGGTGGGGGAGGACAAGCCAAAACAAAACCCACTGAGACTCTGAAAGCTACATGCCCTTCTGAAGCAATCCTTCGGGACCCTTGTCCTCAGTCCTGTGTCCCTGACTTGCTTCCTGATAAGGCACCCCCTGGTTTTTTTCCCCAGTAGTGACTACTAATTTCCCTTCTGCGGTGATATCTTGCATGTGCAAATAAAGCCTGTCTGAAGACCAAAGAATGGGGCTTGCCACTAGCTAACCACAGAGGCCTCGAGGTCTGTACAGACAGACAGGAAGTGAGATGGCTGGGTGGAGAGAGGATATAAACAGGAAGAAACAGGAACTGGCTCTCTTGTCTGCTGAGATTCTATGGAGGTATAAGGTGTGGGTAAGACTTGCTCCTTCTCTCTGATCTCTAGACAGGCTTTATTTGTACAAGCAAGATATCATCACACCCTTCCTACAGCCATCAATTTGTCATTGATCCCACATACCAAAAGGGTCCATTTAACATCCAGATTTTAAGTTTGTATTGTTAATGCTATTTGGACAACAATGTCACCCACTAATACATTCAAATAAGAATCTGGCAACTTCTCTTTCAAACTTGAGCCTTATAGGATCCTCTGACATGGAATGGCTGGCTACCTTTGACCACCCCACCCCAACTATTTTCTTCTCTCCCCCTTCCCCACTATTCTCTGGTCATCCCTGCTACCTCCTAAGTCCTCCACAAGCCCTTGTGGGAACTTTTCAGGCCTTTTAGGGGTTTGTCTTTCTAGTAATTCCCACAAGACTGCCCCACACCACACAGTCATCCATAAGCTGGCAAGCAGTGCTTAGGATCACCTTCATCATCTGCCTACAGATCTTCCAGCCCTCACTGCTACAGGCTGAATGAGGCCACAAAGGTGGCATCGGGGAAGCCAACTAGTGGGGCAGAGCTGTATGAAAGTCAATGGCCAGGAGCAGCAGGCACCCAGGAAGTGCGGCGACAAAGTCCAGTGCAAACTGTACTGGGCTGAGGTATGTGTGTGTGGAGAAGAGAGCGCACACACAGGGACAGCTTTCAGACAAGCACAGGCAGGCCAGAGGGGAGACAGATGAGCTGGAGCTGCTCACATGGCAGCCCATACAAAATCCCACAGATGTGCAATGCCCCCAGCCTGTTCCTCAGGACTCTAACAGCTCTCTAAGTCAACTGTTGCCTTAGACTCCGGCCCAATCGTCCCCACCTGTCTCCTCTTGATGCCAAGGACACTCTTGAAAAGAAATGACTTGCTGAAGACTTTTTCACTCCTCACTAGGATAGTCATGCTTACCCGAGCCCTTCACCACAGGCTCCCCCATTCTCTGACCATTCCTACTATCCACCCTCCAAGTCCTCCACAAGCCCCTGTGAGGACTTTCCAGGCCTTCGGGGGGCTTTTCCTTCTAGCCAACATGGCTCATCTTGTCTTGGCCTTAGGAATTGAAGGCATGAGCCTTGGGATAATGCCTGCCTTTTACTTGTAACTGTGAGACATGGAGACTGGCATGAAACATAAACTCAATAGGGACTTTCTGGCTGAGGGCTTCATATCCTTAGCCTGCCCTCAATAGGTGCTAGGATGCTTTAACAAAACAGACAGGGCTACTGAGAGCTGGTGGAGAGCCTCCTTCCTACATCCTTTTCCAAGACCTCATATATTCACTACCACTCTTCTAGGCACTCCCTTCACCTTTAGGCAGCCTAAGTGGGCTTTTCCCTACTATCCTGGGTGTGGGGCACATGGCTCTAGTCTACTCCATAGGCCTCATGCAGAAAACAATTACAAAAGTCCTATCACTCCCAAACCCCAACACGTACCTATAGATGGGTGCACTACTTTTTGCAGGGGGATGTGCTACCACACCATTGACCACACCATTAACCACACCTACATAATCCCCAAACAACTCTTTGAAATAGTTAACTTAATTTTGCCATTTTAATAAATAAACTAGACTATAATGAAGACTCATTCAGATTAGCTACCTAAAAACATATCTTCTATTCTAGAATGGATGAAAACAGAATAGAGCCCTCAAAAAACAACCAAGTCACATTCTACATCTGGATATACAGTCAAAAGATGGAAACATAGGTGTGGTCAGTCCTTTGTTTTCTCCTAATTCAATTAATTCCTTTCATTCTTTTCCACCCCTGTACTAGTCAAAAGTCTAGGACCAAGAGATTCAAATAGCACTGTAAAGCAGGATACACTATGACGGGAAATATTCAGAGGGCAAGAGTACATTTTCCAGTGGGCATGGGACAGTTTGGAAGGGCTTGTCGCTCAGTGGCAAATCATGTGGCTAGCATCTACAAGGCTGGACTAGATCCCCAGCACCACAGGACAACAATAAATAAATAAATAAAAACATACATTTGGGTCAGTAAAGGGCAACAAACATTAGTTATACTCATGGGAACTATAACTCTCATGTTAATTTGTAAGTATTTAAAATTGTAATGCATCACATACACACATACACAAAAACTTGAATTTGAGGAATTTTAAGACTTCGTATCATTCAGATAATAAAAGCTGCTAAGAAAACAATTCAGACAAAGACAACAAATGCCCAGAAGCAAAGCTTTTTGCAGTGAGACAAGCTTGAATACCCAACCAGTACATGGCAGGGCAAAGTTAGGACACAGTGCTTTCCTTATAGGATGAAGATGGGAATGAGAGTAGATTATTTGGCATCAGATAAATGGCAGCTATTTTTCTGTATATGACCATATGGTGGGAATAAGATTTGACAACTTGAGGGATGGTAGATGAAATGTACAACATTTTTCAGGAGGCCATAAAAGCCAATTATGGCAACCCAATGCACAATACAGTGCCATGGGTGAGAGCCTCTTATCCAAAACACCTACGACCAGAACTGCTAGTTCAGAGTTGGAGTTTTTTCAGGGTGGAGGTATTTGCATATACACAGCTAATATAGCTTAGGGAGAGGACCCAACTCTTAGCAGGAATTCACTGCTGACATGGCATGTTACCTGGAAGCCGCTTGATGTGGCATTTTGTTTTGTGTACTGTGTTTTAATTATGGCCTGATGCATGGGGTCAGGTCTGTGATTATCTACTTGTGACTGTGTCAGTGTTCAGTTTTGAAACGTGAATTTCTGGAGTGATTAACCTGTATTAGTGGTTCCTACCTGCCCAGTCTGATAATGCCTGGCAAACTGGCTGACTACTCGGTAGTCATTTGAAAAGTACTCCATCAGAATAGATGGAACTTCTGCAAAGTCAGTCGGGCACCTGGTTCCTGAAATGGGGAGAAGAAAAACGGGAGTTAGAGCAACATGTCTGTCTCTCGTATTGTGTGCAACTTTAAAACTTCTATTTGTACTTCTGATGAACTATGATAAGCTTTAATTCACTGAATCAATATTTTGCTTCTATAAAATATTTGTACATATTTGCATAAAAGTTTATTATAATCCTATATATTTTCCTTCATATCAAAAGTAAAACAAAATATTTGCACAGCTGCCAAAACACCTTACAAAGCGACAGCTCACACCCTCCACACATAGCTTGTCTTCTGCTATACTGACTTGACATGAAATACAAATTAAAACCCTCTTACAACAATTAAGGCATTTGTATTTAATACAATAAATTCCATTAGCAAATGCTTTTGACCTTCATTTGTTTTCAAAGGACTTTATTTAAGCTACATACTGCTTTGTTACAAAGTCAGTCCTTGGTAAAGAAAATCAATATTTTAAATTCGAAGTTCCTTAAGGCAACAAATCCCCTAAGACCTCTTGGTGACACTGTATTGTTCCAGTCAACCCACCCACACTCTTTTCAAACTTCTTTTCCTTGCCCAAGTTCTGTGTGTTCAGGGTTAGCTAGTCAGCAATGATGCCAACATCTTACTAGGTGGTCAAATGATGACCACTGATGGTAGTGAGCTGGAGACTTCAGATAAGTAGAGCCAGGTGAAGAGTTCAAGTCCAGTCTGAGTTATACAGTGAGTTCAAGGTCAATCTGGGTTACTAAAGACCTTGACTCAAACAAATTAAAAAAAAAAAAAAAAAACCCAGGAGACAAAAAAAAAGCTAATAATAATATCTTGAATGTAACCAGGCATCATTAAAATTCACAAAGCATAATTATAATATTGTACAGGAGTAGTACAGGTACAAATACTTTACCATACTTTTAAGAAATAATTTATTTTGTTTTGTAACAAAATACATGGAGTTTTATTTTAAATGAAAAAATTCACTCAGTAACCGTGCCAGAGACTGAGGAGACATAGCCCTATTCTTCCATACACACACACAAGTGTTAAGTTCCCTATGGCACCATAAAATATAAATGTGCACAAATTCAAGATTGACAACTTAAGGCTTCCTTCCATCAAGAGAGAACAGCAGGGAAGGACCTAGAAACACATCTGAAAGACTCAAGAAGCAATGGCCAGACACTAGAAATCACCATGGATTCAAAACAAGCTTCCCTCACCAGTGACATGTTGGTACCGAGTTCGTCCCAGCATGGAGTGCATGGCATGTCCCATTTCATGGAAGAGATTCTCCATCATCCCAGGAGTTAATAAAGTGGGGGAGTCCTTGGAGGAATGGGGAAGGTTCAGCATAAGAACAACGACTGGGAGCTGATAGCTTCCATCTTCCTTTAATCTGCCCCCTCGGATGGTGAAGTGGCAATCCTTTGAGAAGGGGAATAAAAAAGATAAAGGTGTTAGACTCTAAAGAACAAGTCTATATTAAAACTATAGAAATACATGAGTTCAGACTTATGACTTACTCAGTCTTACCTTGTATATTTACTTCATTTTTTTCTAAAACCTTAATTTTTAAACCACTAAAATGTATTAATGAATTCATTCAGCTACTCCAAAAACATGCATTGGCCTGATGTGTCCAGTGCTGGGAACAAAGGCACTGAAGAGGTGAGACCCACACTCTTAGTGTTAACAAGTGGGAAAAGGCACGGATGTCTCTGCTATGTGTCAGGCAACCAACAGAAAATCTTTCAGTCTGCCATCCCCATTCCTGGGTAGCCAAGGTCTGAGCTATCTAAGTGGAGTCTGGAGCAGACATACTGTCACTCCTTCACAATGACTTGAGGACAGACATATGAAACTAAGCCTTCAAAAGGTCAAGTGCTGCATCCAAGCACATTAGCTGGATGTGTTACCTCTTGGGTCTGAACCCAGCTGATTGTCAGAGGCCAGGGCTGGGAATCCTTAAACTACCACCCACTAAGGAAAGAGAGGAAAGCTGGGACCCAGAGCCTGCCGACTCATCCTCTGGTCCTCTTTTTGGTTCCTGCTAGCCAAATCACAAAGGAAAGCAATTTACCTCCATGAACCTAATCTGCAGAATGCAGAATGCCACCTATCAAATCCTAGACTAAGCCCATTTCTGTTCAAATGCTTTGGAAACTGTGGATCACTACTAAATGACAGGTTCCATTTTCTTCTGTTATAATTGGTAAGTTGAAATGGTATTTCCCAATGAGTTGCATGAAAAATCTAAAGTTGACCTGTGGGAAAATGTAGCATGCAGCAAAAGAAAAGAAGCAAGCTGTGTGTTTCCTACGCCGTGAACTAACTGGCAGCACAACAACTTCTACAGGCCCAGCAATAAAGAAAGGATTTATTTAACTTACACTTCCAGGTCACAGTCTGTCACCGAGGGGAGTCAGGACAGGAAATGAAGCAGAAACACCACAAAGTAACACTGCTTGCTAGCTTACTCTCTCATGTGTTCTTATATAGGCCAGGACCACCTGGTTAGCAATGGTACCAACCACAGTGAGCTGAGCCCTTCCTATATCGATTAAGTGTCATGACAACCCTTCACAGACATGTCCAAAGATGATCTTGGTAAAGAAGACAATTACCCAGCCGAGACTCTTCTAGGCTGTATCATGTTGACAGTTAGTGCTAAGTAGGACAACTGTCTGTCATAGAGAGAGGTTGAGAGCTAGGGCTTGAGACAGAATGCTTAGGGTGAAGGCCTAAGAACCTCTGAGTCCTGGGCAAGTGGATAACCTCACTGGCCTTAGTTTCCTTGTTGTGTTAAAGCCTAGTTCAAAAGGCTGGGGTGCATTAAAGGGTGTAAATATATTAAGGGCTTATGTGCCAGCTTTGAAAAATAAGAGCTTGTAAAAGGTCACCATCCTTATCATTAGTTTCATATCACATTCCAGATTCAGTAAATATGGGGCAGAAGATATAGATCCATGCAGTTTTTCTCATGACTTTTATTACTTTCAAAATCTATCCTATTTTCACATTTACATAATTAGTAAATTTTTGGTGGCTTTAGATATTATGGAACTGTAAAAATGACATGTAAAGTTGTCCACATTCATACTGACAAACTGCTGACCACTTCTAGGCAAGGCAGCTTGTAAAGGAAGGCTTACCTGATGTGGCTTGTTTGCTCGCTGGAAAAAATCACAGTAAATGTACCCCAGCAACCCTTCGGATTCATGAACAACAGCCTAGAATATAAGTTCAAATTCAGTGGTCAATGACCTCATCAAAACCCCCAAAAGAGAACACAAGACCCTCTATATTAAATACTCATAGCCATAAACATTTAAATTACTTTTTATACCCCAAGTTTCTCAAGCTCTTTACCTATTTTTGCCCCACCTCTGGAACATTTGACTTGAGAATTCTGCGTTCAGGAGAAGACATCCTCCTTGGGGTCCTGTGTCCTATCTGCCCTTCCTCTACATTAACTGCAGCAACCATAGCTCTTCACAGAGGCTCTTCTCAAAACAACCCAAAAGATTTGGGAAGAAAGGCTGGCTTGACAGTTTTAGTGGCAAAATGAGCTCCAATTTGCTGTTCTAAATTTTCAAGCAGGTATATTCACTCACTTGACAAGCATCTAAAGAGCATCTCCTGGGTGCCCAAAGCGAATCAAGACACCCAGGAGATGGAAACAGACGCCATGGGGCTGGTGCTGCTCCAGAAGCCCAGGCTGCCACCTGCATCTGTCCTCCAGCCTGTCGCAGGCTTTTCTTTTTACTACATCCTGACTTCTCCCTAACCTGTACCACCCAGGAAGTCAGTAACATGGCAGGATGTTTCATGGGTAAGAACAGTGCTCTCTTAGCTTGACCTGCTTCATCTCTATCCCATGCTCAAAGCATGGCCAAGGGGCAGCAAGGCAGCTGTCACGAATGGACTCAGTGAAGGAAGCACAGCCATCATGCAAGCTAGAGAAAAATGGCACCGCCCCACAAAATCTCAGGGGTAAATTAATATGGGGCCAAGAGTGCCACCAAGCCTTCATCACACCCCAAGTGTGATGTTTCATGGAGTGTTTTATGGAGAAAGGTGAAACTCCAGGCTAGAAGTTGTCACCAAAGTCAAATCAGACACAGGATAAAATTAGTGTCAATGAAAGACCACTGCAAACACATGAAGGACACTGAGGAGAAGGGAGCAGTGCATATGGGAACTATAAAGGGGCAGGGTGTTGGTATCATTAATGAGAATGACGAACTTTTAAAAATTCACGACTTATGGAAGCAAGGAAATGAAAATTGGTGTTTTACCAGTTTTCCTAAGAACACTTGTTTTGGAGAACTAACTCTGCTCTTCCACATTCAGGTCCTTTACGCAAGGTCCTAATCAGACATGGCGCTTGAACTTTTTATGCAAGAGAAATGAGCTGGGGCACCCTGTCAGAATACAATTAACACAAAGAGAAACTGCTGGGACTCACTGACACCCTGGGGGACCCAGGTGGTGCTCAGCCAGGGGAGGCTTACCAGCTTCCGGACATCATCACACCACACCTCTCCTTTTGCAGGCTCCTCTGCATATAAGGTGATGCCAAGCAGTTTGTTAAATAAGACATTCAGGCCTTCCATGCAAGCTCCAAGGGAGAAAAATGGGCAATATAAACTGGGCTCAATATTATACCTAAGAGAAGGAAAAGAAGGTCAACAGTGTTTCTTCAATTTATTTCTAGAAGGTACATTCAGTGAACTGTTCAGCTCTACTTAAGATCAGAATGGCAAAAAGGGATTCACGGGAGGGTACAGTTGGCATCTGTTGTCTCTAGTTCTGCATCCAGCATTTCAAACAACAGCAGCCGAAAACATGAGGGTAGGTGGAGAGGAGAGGACATGTCAGCTGTATGGACTGGGCCTTTGAACTTGTGTGAGTACCATCCTTGCCTGGCTTGGATCCTGGAACCCTGACTAGAGTGACAAGAGACTGAAGAAAGGACACACACAGAAAATCTGGGAGTGAGTAGTCTGGGCTCTCTGTTGGAGAAGTCACAGCACCTCAAAAGCTCAGTATGATTATTATATACAGGAGGCAGGGTTATCACCTACCGCTGAACAAGGGGACAAACTTAGCTAATCTCCAAACAGTCTGTGTTACAGCAGTCTTCAGGCCATAAATATCCTGGGGGAGAAAGCCATGGTGCACATTTCTGCACACAGTACCGACGTCCCTTTGAGCCTCATTTGGGGAAGCTTTGCCACTCTCATGGGGCTGAGGCATTGGTCTTTGACATGGCCATGCTCATGTCAAACAATACACATCCACTCAGAACATCACTCAGTTCCTACATGTATGGACTATTTTTTCTTATTATTTTTTTTTCTTTTCTCTTACCCCACAAACAACTAAGGATAATGACCACTGAAACAGGTATTTTAAAAGAGACAATTAAAGTCTCTAGAAGGCTGTACCAGGATCCCATGCAAAGAGGAGGTCATTCTACTCCACAGGACCACCATATTTCTATCATTTGAGGGTTATTCACCTCCCTTTTCCCCAGAAGGATGAAAATCTTCTATTCCGGCATTATTAGAACTATAGTAATCAGGGTAGACGTGTTCCCTATATTAATTGTATTTATTATTATCATTAGAGTGTGAGTATATGTATGTTTGTAAGGTGGGGGAAAAGGAGGGAGTGAGAAGAGAGAAAACACACATCATGCCAGCAGAAATCAGAGGACACCTTTTAGGAGTTGGTTCTTTCCGTCTGCTGTAGGTTCTAAGGACTGAACGCATGTCAGGCTTCTTGCATAGCAAGTACCTTTACCCACTGAGCCATCTCACTGGCTCATCATTCCTTAATCTTGACCTCTTTTATATTTAAGCTTTCACTGACCTCATAAAATATTTAGCCTCAATGGCCCAGCAAAATGTGAACAGTGTCAATCATAAGGGCTTCACTTTATAAAACTTGTCATTTTAAAAGGATGAGTTGTGTACACAAATATTAAACAAAAAAAATGAATAAAAACTTACTTAAAGCATGCTAAGTCATTTTAAAGTTCTCATCTGGTAAAGTATTTGTTTATGGAAAAACACCTAAGATATAATCAGATTTTTAATGCATATACTCTGTAACTATATATATCTTATAGACAGCATACTGGTAATCAGTTATTTTCCTATGTTCTATGTATTCCAACATAACCAAGCAGATGCAAATACATTATTCAAATGTTTGTTTCTGAGTCATTACATTAGGCCAAAATTTATAGTCACAGCCAAAATTAATGACTCTAGCAAAAAAGGTAGATGCTTACTATGTTTCTACTTTCTCATTCTAACTATATATTTTATGTAAAATATAAACATATGTATATATGTTACTGTATATATTTTATATAAAATATAAGCAATAAAAATTATTATTACACAGAAATATCTAGATACAAGAGTAAATTAATTGCATCAAAGGGAATTGGTGATGAAATCCAAATGTACAATGGAATTTCTTATCCATCTTCCATGAAAGTAAAATCTGGGTATTCAAAGTGATAATGGAGTTGAGTCCTCAAGGAGCCTAAAGGCCACCACTACATCTAACAGCAAGAGCTGAACAAATGGAACAGCAACAGGTCCAGCAGCATCCAGATTATACAGCAAACCACCTCTTCCAGACTGGAGAGACAGGCAGAGAGCCTCAACTCCCTGGTCTTGTACAGTACCTCACACTTGCATGAGTACTTCTAGGAGCCCTACAGTTCTCAAAATTAAGATGGAGAAAAATGCCTCCTGCCAATAGTGGGAGAAGAAAAGGAACCATCCTGAAATATTGCCAAAACATTCTGCTCTTACTGTGGCCTGCTCTCAAAAAAAGAAAAAGAAAGAAAAAAAGAAAAAGAAAAAAAAAACAAAACAAACAAAAAAACCTACTTAACCAAAACCCAAGCGAAGAGCAGGGAGTTGTGGGGTAGAAGAAATAATGTTGAAATACCTCATCCCAGAAGGAAGGGAGGAGGCTGAGAAACATTGTGGAGGTCATCCAAGGACTCAAGCCATCTATAGGCTTTAAGCTCAGCTGCTGTTATTCAATGCTACACCAGGGGCCCAGTCTTGAGCTGGAACCAGCTGAGATGTTAGCTGAACAGCATTTTTCTCTTTATAGGCTAAAGGCCTCTGATGGTTTGCTGTAGTAAAGAGACAGAGTGTCATGATCCATTTGTAGTATGAGGTATGCTTGGAGTTCATCATGCATGAGATAAGCATGCCCTAGCTGGTGGCTGGTGCTTGCTTGTCTTGGATCTCTGAGAGTGACAATCAGTCTGCTATGTGATTGAGTCCCCATCAGAAAAGGGGCAGTCTTAAGCCCTAAATTACTCATCAGATATGACATTTTGTCCTAAATGAGTAAAATGGCAATCTGGGTAGAAGGACAAGTCCTGGTTTACAGAAGGAGAGGCCAAGGGTTTCCTGTATGGGAGATGGCTTTAGAAACCATCATCACACCAGCCACTTTTGCCTTTTCTCTATGCTAGCTCTGTTCTGCAGAACAGAATATTTAAAACTGCCTCTTTTCATTAGTCTTTTTAATTTGTTATTATTTATCTGCAACAGTTGTAAGAAGAGACAAAGCAATCCTAGAACCTGTCTCAGATACTGCAGGGGTATGCACGTGAATAGACAGGGCTGTGAAACAATTATGATTAACATCTTAAGGGGTCCAAAAGAAAAAGTAGAGAATGTCACTAGAACAGATAGGTAATGTACGCAGACAGAAAAAACTTCAGAATCAAAAGAATATGGCAGACACTAAAACCACTGTGACAGAAATAGAGAATGCCTTGAAAGGGTTCACAGACAGAATCGTTGAGAAAGGATCACTGAGCTAGAAGCAATGTTGATAGAAGCTTTCCAAACCTGAATGCCAGGGCATGGGGTGGGAAGCAGAGGCAGGGGTAGTACAAGCTGTGGGAGGCAAGCTTGGGCTATACAGTGAGACTAACCAAGATCTCTATATTGACTAAAGTTATCCTTCAAAACTGGAGAAACAAAGGATTCTTCAGACAAACAGAAATAATGGACATGTGTCTCCTGTAGTTCTATCACATACTAGCTCACCCTGAACACATGAAAGCCTAGCAGAGAGACTGGCAGGGCTACACTACCACCAAGATTAGAGAGAATATGCCTCCAGTATAGATACCTGCTCGGGAGAAGTTTGCCAGGACAGACACAGGAGAGGACCACGAGCTCTCCAAGACCTGAGGGGGGGGGGGGAGGGCTTAAGATGAGGGATGCCACAGAAGGTGTCCAGGCAAGCAGGAAGACACTTATTATGATCAAGTCAGAATCACTGGTGATACCAGACCTGCAGTGGTCTGACGTTACCGCATCCCACCATGGTCCTCTAAATCTTAAATCTACAGGGCATTTTCTCTTATTCCTTACCTAATTCCATGACACAGATGGAACAAGAATTACACCTGAGGAAACAAGGGCCCAAAGAAGCTGGTGACAACAGAAAAAAGACCCCTGTCCTAGTGACTGTTCTACTGCTACAAAGAGACACCAGGACCAAGGCAACTTATAGAAAGCATTTAACTATGGGCTTGCTTACAGTTAATCCAGTTACAGTTTCAGAGGGTTAGTCCAATATCATCATGGTGGGGATATGGCAGCAGGCAGGCAGGCATGGAGTATAGGCAGTAGCAGGGAGCTTACATCTGATCTGCAGAGAGAGTGAAGCTGGGCCTGGAGTGGGCTTATGAAATTTCAAAGCCTACAATCCAGTGACACTCCTCCTCCAACAAGGCCACACCTCCTAATCCTTCCCAAACAGTTCCACCAACTAGGGACCACATATTCAAATAGATTATGGGGATCATTCTCATCCAAACCACCACAAACCCTAAGTTTGAAATTAGAACATGGGTTCCTTCTGGTTGTGTACTTTGGGCTTCTGGGGTCTTGACTTTCATATCAGGAAAACAGGAAACACTTCCTCGGCTCTAGTGTAGGTAAAGAATGGCTTCTCGTGGGGAAAGCCAGGACCAGCACATTTGCCACAGCAAAGAAAGCCATGGGTGGACTTCCCTGTCCTCAAAGCTTGCCAACTATAAGAAATGCAACACAGTCAAAGAACCTGAGTCATAAACGATATTATACTTTACTAATAGGAAACACTCATTCATGTGCTGTGTCCCAGAAAACAAGGATGTAGCCTAGAGAGGAACGATGGAGATCAGAGAGAACTACCAAGAGGAGGCAACATCAAGTATCCCTGGAAAGAGGCTCCTGGTGAAGGAAGCAGCATCTACAAGAGTCCAAAGGCTAAAGAGAAGGGAAGCAAAGTGGGGTACAATACAGGAGAGGTCAGACAGTCAGAAGCCTTTGCCTTCCTTGCTCAGCTACCTCCACCACACCCTCTGAGACTCATAGCAAAAGAAGTGAGACAGAATGGGATACCTATAGAAAGCTCCATGTTATCCACAGTACTATAAGGATCTGAGAGCTCTCCATGAACAGTCCTTTATTCAGGCTAAATAATAGCCAAAATAACACTATTTATGGAACACAGTGTGATGTACTGACTATTTTATGTCACTGGCCTCCCTGCCCTGAGAATGCCTGGCCCATGGTCAGTTAGGCCAGGCCCTGGATATGACCACTGTGCCTGCCTTAATGAGGCATTGCTGTTCAAGATTTGCCTGTTAACACATACCTACAATGCCTCTGTTTACAACTTCCTTACTTCCCATAGATAATACATGGAGGACTCTTCTCTAGCACAGAGACTCATCAGTACAACTGATGAGTGGTATACTGCACCCTTCCAGCATACCAGAGCCACAGCCAATGCAAACAAGATACCTCATTTTGCTGAGGCTCTTCTATGATGTTCCAGGCATCACTGCAAATTCTAGCAAAGTCCCTCCCATCCCACCTCATCCTCCCCTCACTCTTCCTCACCCCCCCCCACTGTGATCCTACCCCCCCCCCACTGCCTCCATCCCAACACTGTCTCTCGCTACATTGCCCAATTCTCCAGTACAGCTGCAGTTTTCCATTATCATTTTTGCAAAAGATAACCTTGGTTTGGCTCCAGAAACAAGACTGTCAAGAGCTCTCTGCTTCCTCTGCAGAAGAGACCAGTTAAATGGGTGCCCACCAGAGCTGCTGAGCAAAGTCCAGAAAGTGTTCTACCATATAAGAGCTGCCACTTTCTCTGGCTCACTGCAGGGCTGTGATGGAAGACCGCTTGTTTGCAGATGCTGCAGGGGAGAGGGTGTCAATTTGCAACAAACCAACATAATAATTCAAAAGTATAAATATAATTTCATCTTTATTAGGAACAACAGAATTTAAGGTTGGTGTGTCTCAATTGGTACAGTCTACATCCAGCATGCCCAAGCACATAGGTGGAATCCTAGCACCACAACAAAACCAATAGGACTTAGCAGTATGTCAAAGCCCCCTCAGGAACGCTGAGACTTAAATAAGCATGGAAGAGATGTTCAACCGAAAGTTCATCATAATTTGAGTATTTAAAAAAAAAAATGAACCAAGAGAAAGGAGAGGGAGGAGAAGGAGAAAGGAGGGAGGGTAAAAGGAGAAGAGAGAGCACTTGAATATGCCCAAATTCTTGGCACTGGATTTACTGAGTGTGGCCCATGAACATGGCTGAAAGTTCAGATAAGCAAAGGCCTCATTCAGTGAAGAGCAAGGGCAACATCAAACAGGCTTAACCAGCAGAGGCTCACCATGAAGGTGGCCCACCCGAGGATACATGTGCTAGGGAAATGCACACTCCAGAAGGGCATCTTACAACACAGCACTGTCCAAGGAACGATAGTTAACTTTATCATGAGAGTGAACAGGGTGTTTTGACATCAGGAATGACTAAGTATGATGAGCTCTGCAGCAGAAAATTCCACACCAACAGCTGCCATTTTCTCTGGTTAACTACAGAATGATCAATGGAGAAACTGTCGTTCCAGGACTGCTTGCTTCTCAGTTAACATGTAGCACTGAAAATGAACAAGACCAGTCCCTCTCTCTGCTGTGCAAGAGGCCACCTCAGCCATCCAGTCCCACTCTGACTTCTGGAACCACCATTTGGACCTAGCTTCTGCTAGTCAGGTGCAGTTTCCTCCACAGTGCAGACCCCACAGAAATGAATGCCAGACAAAGAAAGTTTAGTTCTAGCACCATCCTCAAGCAACATGAAGGCAAGCTAGCAGGGTTGAGTGTAGCTACAAAGGGCATTGCCAGCAAAGGAAATGATACAAGATGTCTCCAGCAGAGATAGCAAGGAGACATCTGCTTGTGACTATCTCTTACCCTGCTTCTTTGCTTCGGAGGACAGTGAGAAAGATGCTGAACTGTGATCCAGCTCTGCTGGGGCCAGAAAGCAAAGAAGGAGCAGCAGCAGGTGATAGGCAGAAAAGGCAATAGGCAGGAAGCATTCCCCGAGAGCTTTGGGACAAAATGATAGCCTGGATTTGCATAGGAACTTTTCCAAGTCCCTGAGAATAGTCCAGTCCATCATTAGACCAATACTAGATGATGGAAGCTCCCGGTGCACAAGCTAAGCAAACAGGGCATTGGGGAGGGGATGTCACACACTAGAATGTGCACACTTTGCCTGGATCCTAATTCCAACAAATAGGCAAAAAGAACATTTGGTACCTGAATGCCACCAAAGGCTCATGTGTTGGAGGCTTGGACTACTAGACCACGGTGCTATCTGGAAATGGTGGAATCTCTAAGAAATGGGTCCCAGTGAAAGGGAGCTAGGTCACTGGGGGTATGCCACTGAACAGAGCATCAGGACCACACCCTCCTGACTCAATCTGCCTCTCACTATGTGTTCCCCACCATAATTCGCTGCCCGGCTACAGACCCCAAATTAAGGAGGCCCATGGACCACACTCTAGAACCTCTAGAACCTCCAAAACTAGGAGCAAAACCCAGACTTTCCTCCTGAGATGCCAACTGTCTCAGTGTCTTCTTAAAATAAAAGAAAGCCGAATACACTCACCATCACAAAACACTAATGTGGGCTAGGTATAGGGAACATATTAACTTTAGGTAATGTTGTTGATGTTCCATAAGATGTCCATGTCCTTCAGAGATACAAGCATGTGAGTGTACAAACAGAATCTAAGATTGACCTGAAGGTCTGTAGGTAATGTCATGGGACAAGGAAGGAAGGAAAGACAAAAAAGCAAAACAGAAATCAAAGGGGACAGAAGAAACACACCCAGTACAACTTGACAGTAGGCCCAGAGGTGAACATCAGGCAGCTACTTACATTGTCCTTTTCTGCTTATTTTGAAACTTTTCATAATTTCATAAGAAAGGTTCATTTAAAAATTTTTAAAGTACCAAGGTCATTATGTCTCCTTCAATAAATAGAAGTGCTTCTATGACAGTCCACTGTTTTCTGTGTGGTTTTATTTTACTTTATTATGTGAGTACTTTTGAGATTTTTGAGGCTTAGCACACAGTAAATAGGAAACTACCCTTCCTGGAAACATTTTAATGAGAAGCAGCACCAGCACACACCCAGGTCACTGAAGCTGGCTGCTATCAGGAAAAGAGACAATGCCTGTCAAGGCATGAAGAGCAAAACCCAAGTGCCGACTGGGCAGATTGATTAAACAGCTCAAGAGAACAGCCCCTGAGGGTCAGGGCAGGAATGGGGCCAATGTTTCCCAGTGAACATCTTTCTGCTATTGCTGTGATGTTTTAAGCCATATAAATGCACTGCCTATTCCAAAACAAATTTTAATTTCAAATAAAGCTATTTCAGATAATTTTCCTATCTTTTCAAACTTGAAAGACCTAATTTCTCAGAAGAACTTAATTGAAGAAGCAAACAGCATGTGCTCCTTGAGATCTCATACAGGTACCACTGTTCACAGAAGAGCTGGGCTGAAAAACTGTTCAAGCGCGTATCTCCAAACCCCAAAAAGGCCACACTGCATTAAACAAATCTGCCAGACTGCCAGGCAGTGGTGATGACGTTAATCCCAGCACTTGGGAGACAGAGTCATGTGGTTCTCTGAGTTCAAGGCCAGCCTGGTCTACAGAGCTAGTTCCAGGACAGCCAGGGCTACACAGAAAGAACCTGTCTCAAAAAAACAAAAACAAAAACAAAAAAAAAAACAAAACCAATTGCTGGATTAAAACAAGAGCCATTTAAGGTTGGCAAAATAGTTCAGCAGAATCGCCATGGATTCAATCACAAGGAGAGAAATAACTCCTTCAAGCTGTCCTCTGACCCACACACATTTGTCATGGCATGTGCATGGATACACTCAAATAAATATGGATAAATACATAAATGTAAAAACTCTTTGAATGTTGTTCAAAACATTATGCCATTTTCTTCTCAAAATTCTATTACTTTTATTTGGTGTCGACATGGGCTTGAAGAGCTAATAATGAATTCATGCTTCCTAGAAACTCAGTTAAGTGTGTGTTCCTCAGAGCTTTAAAGCAGGCCAGCAGGATGGCCCAGTGAGTGCAGGTACCTGTTGCCAGGTCTGATGTCCTGAGTTCAATTCCCATTACCTACATAGTGGAGAGAACTGACCCCTGCAGGTTGTCCTCTAACCATGAGTGCTGTGGCTCTCCCCACAATCACACATGGAAATAAATTAATAAATTATTGTGTGTGTGTGTGTGTGTGTGTTTATGGAGTTAGCAAGAAACAACTACACTTATGAGAGTAGAGTCCAGCAAATTAAGGACAGGCACAAGCCACACAAGTACAGGCCTGCAGAGGATCAAATCAAGATACTGCAAATGAGACTACAGTTCTGCCATCAGAGAGAGCTGTGTCTCGGGGAAGGCCGGTGTGTGATGAAGGCATCTGAGCAGCTGTATCACTAATGTGCAAAGTATTCAGTACATTAACTCCGACTCCTTCCCGCAGGGGTCTTTCTGGGAAAGCTTACCTCTCTGCACGAATCACACCACTGTAGTAGGGGGGGTCCCAAGGCATTAGTTCCTGAAAGGGAATGGTTCACTGTCAGCAAAGACATTGACTATCTCATTATTTTTATCAGAAACTTGACCAGCTTATAAAAGATAAACCAGTTATTTTTAACATATATAAGAAAAACATTTAAAAACCATAGCATGGCACAATTTGGCCTCTCTGTAACCAATACATAGAAGGTATAACTCTAGAATCTGGGACAAAGGTAAATGACATTCTAAAGCATAATCAACAAAAGTCAACATTAATGGGTGAAATCAGCCAGAATCCAAGTTTTCTCAAAGCATTGGCCAGATATGAATCCACATACTACAAAAACAAGATAAGCATTTTGTGAAACTGAACAAGAAGGTTAGGGTATAGCCCCAAAATTGAAGTAATAATTTAAAATGTAACTAAGACAGAATCAACTCCAGTCTCAACAAAGAAACTATGTCTTAAGGAGCATGGCAGTTTGGGCTTACAATCCCAGCCCTTGCGAGGCTGGGGCAGGACCACAAGTTTGAGGCCCTGAGCTAAAAAGTCAAATTCTACCTCAAAACAAAACATAACAAAAGTAGAAGCAATAGCAGTTCTGTGGCAGCCAGTGCAGGAAGCTGAGAGCAAGCCTGAGCACTTGATTGGGAAGGACAGGCTTATTCACCAGGGGTCAAATTACCAGACTGTATCTGCATGGAGGTGAGCACTCTGCCCTGTCCTTCCACACTGGACCTGCCTCTGCAGAGCCTGCTGCATGGCTGCCACTCACTGAGTCACAGCACCTCCCACACAGGCACATCACCTGGCTCTGAGGAAGGGTTCAGCATGTCAGCTGTCCTGTGGTCCTCACCCTTCCAAGTTTCAGCTCAGCACAATGCCGAGGAAGTAGGTGATCCTTCCCACATGGCACAATGGCACTTTGGGCACAGCATGTGTGGCAATGTAAGAGTACAGACTCATGGTCTCTCTCCCATGAATGCCTGGAGGGTAGGGATGGCATTCCTGAACCTCCACCTCCTGGAGCTCAGTTCCCAGCACCCAGCTCTCCAGCTCATGACTATACACCATCCATAGAGGGCAGAGTGGGGCTCCTACCACAGACATAAGCAGACATCAGCCTCAATAGAGATGATGGTGTAGGAAGGCAAAGTGACTTAACAAGAGAGCAGTGTATCACAAGAGGGGACAGGAGGAGGGGCTTGGTAATAGGTGCTTACTGTACAAGAATGAGGACCTGAATCCAATCCCCAGAACACACGTAAAATGCTGAGTGTGGTAGCGCATGCTTGTAACCCCAGTGGGAAAGGGAAGTCAGGAAGATGCCTAAGGCTCACTGGATGGCCAGGCAACTTGGCTGAATCACTGAGCAACCCTGTCTCAAAAACTAAGATGAACAATTCATAAAAAATGACATGTGAGATTGATCTCTGGCTTCCACATATGTGCACCCTTCCATATAACTCACTCAAACCATAACCCATGAGAAGCATATTTTTTTAAACCAACAAACAAAAAACACACAAAATTTATTATATGCCTAAGGCCCAAGCATCAACTCAGAGAAGTTTTAAATCAAAATGTGAGTTCCAAGAGATGACAACAATTAATAGAGGTAAGAAAAGACTGGAAGCTCCCTACCAGAGTACACATAATGACCAGCAAGAGTTGAGAACAGAAGAAAGCGAAGTGGAAGTAAGGGAAGCCATGCCACCCCAGGGATAGGACAGAGTAGCACTGAGCCAGGCTGAGGAGGGACAGACCCTGAGTGACTGGGGAAAGACGCAAAGAAATCAGAACTGCCATACAGGAGCAGCAGTTAGTGAAGGATTTTAACAGAGTGACAAGACCAGCTCTGTGCTGCAGGAAACTCTCCCAGATGGCAATCTAGTCACTTACTGATTCATTCACTCAAAGTACTTGCTCTGTGCCCACACTGGGCTGGGGACATGGCTAAGCATTCTGAATCCACCAGTACTGTGGTGGTTTGACGAAAATGGTCCCCAAAGAGACTGGCACTATTAGCTATGGCCTTGTTGGAGTAGGCGTGGTCTTGGAGGAATTGTGTCACTGTGGAGGCGGGCTTTGAGGGCGCACAAACCTAGTATGACAGAAAATTTTCTGTTGCCTGAGTCAAGATATAAGGCTCCAGCACCATGTGTGCCTGCATGCCGCCATGTCTCACCATGATGATAATGGACTGAACTGAAAATGTAAGCCGCTCCAATTAAATGTTTTCCTTCATAAGAGCTGCTGTGGTCATGGTGTCTCTTCACAGAAATAGAAACCCTAACTAAAACAAATACACTTTTGAGAGGAGTAGGAACTTAAAGCCAGGAAGCCAATTAATCAACTCCAATTAGGTGAAAAACTGTAATAAGCTAGCCAAGGTTGTGGTCACAGGCATGGGAAGGGGAGGATATGGTTCTTGAGGTCAGCTGCAGAAACAATAGGAGTGGGAATCACCTGCAGGGTACAATGGAACTCAAGAACAGGCCTCCACCCAGAGGTTCACATTGGTGTGTGGGGCTGAGTTCCCTGGTGATGGTATTGCTTCAGGTCAGTGCATAAGTGCAGCTTCTAGCTAGAGCAGCAGGGTAAGCAGTGGCACCACTATCCAGAACAGAGCCTCATGAGAAGATCAGGCCTTCACCAACACTTGCACAGCTACCTGCATCCATCAGTCATACAAAAATGTTGGGAGGGAAGGTAATGGTACATCAGCTTTGACTGCATTCGCTTTCTGAAACATGTTTTTAATTTTTTTGGTCCACTCAGCTAAATTCTGATCTATATCTGATAGCCTATGTGGATGTACCCACCACTGCAAAGAGTGTAGGTGACCTGCATTAGCTATCAGGCCAGATACAGCTACAGCAAGGTCCCAGATTGGCATGCTACTCTAATCCTATCCAGTCCAGCCATGTACCATCTATTTCTTAGTGGATGAGAAACTGGCAGTTTCCAAATCTACAAGGCTCCTTTCTCTATATTTCCTGTGCCTACAACTCTGACAATTCTATCAAATCAAGAATCACCAAACAGTAGCACCCACAAAAGGATGGTTTAGACAACCATTGAAAGCCTGTGGCACCTTTGAGCCACATGGGAACAAGGATACTAATGTCTGCAATCCCATCACTTCAGGACATCCCAAGTACCTGGGCATCATTCTGGTCACAAAAAGACACTTGATCTATAGTATGAGATCATATGACCTTATGACTGAAAACAACACATATATGTGTCATACCTTAGTTTAAAGGCTCTTGGTCATCTGACTCTTTCACAAAATATCACCCTGATCCACTATATTGATGACAACTGGTCCAAGTAAGCAGGAGGCAGCAACCACTTTGGACTTGTTGGTAATGCAAATGCACCTCAGAGGATGGGAAATAAACCCAACTGAAATTCAAGGGCCTTCTACCTCAGTGAAATTCTTAGGAGTCCAGTGGTATGGGGCATGCAGAGATACTCCTTCCAAGGTGAAGGGTAAGTCCTGCACCTGACCCCTCGCAGCACCAAGAAAGAAGCACAAAGCTTAGTGGGCCTATTTGGATTCTGGAGACAACGCATTCCTCACCTGGGTAGGTTACTCTGGCCCATACACCAAGTGACTCAAAAACCTGCTAGCTTTGATCGTGGCCTGGAAAAGGCTCTTTGACAGGTCCAAACCAGTGTGCAGGCTGCTCTACTACTTGGACCATATGATCCAGTAAGTACTGGCGGTATAAACTACAAGGTTAACATTGAGGCTCAAATTGTCACCTGCTAGATCAAACTTCCATTTAGCTACATCAAAGGCTACCTTGAAATGGGAAGCTGACTTTCTATAAAACAGAAGTGCTTCATAAATACATTTTCTGTTAATATGCATCCATAAATTATACACACACAACTACTAATTGATAAAAATGCTGAGTATTTTTAAAATCATGGCCTCAAATTGAGACCTATGTGTCAAATACTTCAATACCAAAATCACTAAGACCAAGCATTAAAAAGACTATAAGGACTTCTAGAAAATCCTAAGGAAGTCCTAGAATCAGCACTATGTACCCACTCATGCAATAGTGGCATGACTATTATAGGAGTAACCAAGTGCTTTCTTATTGGATTTGAGGCCATGCCACAGGAGGTCATGTCTGGTATTGTAAACCTAATTAGAAGCCATGGCTGTAGAAGTCACAGGCCCTATGGCAGAACCTACTAAGGTTACTTTGCTAAACAGAAACAATACCAAACTTCATTCTACATATCATGTTTATACCCACAGCTTCTATCAGAAGCCTCTGCTTGCAGTAGCTGATAATTACTACAGAAACTCTTAAGTGGTCAAAGTGTTGAAAATAAGTAACTGTTGAATGTTCAGCCTCAAATGGGACATCTATACTACCCCTTCTCCAAGGCTTGGGATATCATGGAAGAGGGCTGGTTGGAAAAAAAAAAAATGTAAGAGCTACAGGATGAGAAGGAGTATTGTAAAATTCTGTCTTCTCGACATGACTGGTTGTTGTGCCCATGAACTCATATCAACAGTGGCTTTCCTGCATAAGACCTGCCCAAGACTGGGCTGGTCCATATTCCTTCATATTGATAAGGGATAACTGAAGAGCCAATGTGGCCCTACCTCTCCCTAAACAGCTACAAGCAATTAATGGTTGCTGAGGAAGGGAAGGAGTCATATTCCTCTGGTAAGTTGCCCTTGCTGAAGCAAATAAATAACCCACCACCCATACTCATGTAAGCACCCTAGTCAAATGCAGTGAAACACACATACACAAAAGACATGAGGAAAAGAAGGGTTTTTGTGGGAAGGGATAAGAACTAATGGGTGAGGGAAATATAATCAAATTACTTATACATAAATGAAACTGTAAAGAACAAATTTAAAATTAAAAATTTTTAAATTTAAAACTTAAGATTAAGCTGAGCAGTAGTGGTGCAAACCTTCAATCCCAGCACTCGGGAGGCAGAGGCAGGTGGATCTCTGTGAGTTCAAGACCAGCCTGGTCTAGAAGAGCTAGTTCCAGGACAGTCTCCAAAGCCACAGAGAAATCCTGTGTTGAAAAACAAAACAAAATCTTAAAAGTTCTAGAATGAAGAGATAATGCTTTTAGTAGAAATAGTGTTTACATCATTTGAAAAAAAAAAAAACTCAGCATATTTAACTTACAGAATTTTGAGGATTTAGTTTCATTTTCATTCCTCTCATCATCTCGAAATCTTTTGCAGTTCTGCAAAACAAGTCTATCATTACTTAAGAAAAAATTTAGTAATTGCAATAAGAATAAACTTTATAACCTTTCCAACAGCCACAAATTAATAAAATTAGATATGTCTTTTACTACAAAAAGCAAACTGTGATTAATCCAACTTTTACTATAGTGTCATGTGAGACTATATAGGTCATAAAGTCAATACAAATTCTACTCGTATGCACAATGAGATGCACGCCTTGAAAGTACTAAAGCCTGGGAGGCAGAAGTGAAGATTCACCCACAGACTCTAAATTAGCACCCCAAATGCAGGAGACTGACAAGTTCCTCTTTGGAGAACATCCATACAGATAGTTACAACTGCTATTCACCACTTTTCCCTACAGAAGAACTCTGGGCAATAACAGGAGGTGTCTTTTAGAATTAACACACACACACACACACACACACACACACACACACACACACACACACACAACTACAAACTTAAGAAGGCACATTTGCTGAAAATGCAATCTATAGCTACACACAAACAGACAACCCTTCTAGCAAAAGCTAAGAAAAACTAAGACACTTCAAATCAACATTCCCTCTTCACTGTAACAGATACTGGTTCACTGGCATTAAAAGATTTTAGAAGGGACAAACATAGCCAAATCAGAAAGGGATTTAAAAGCACAAGTTTAAAAATCCCAAACAGATGGGACTGGGAAAATGGCTCTGGGCTTAAGAGCATGTATGACTCTTTCAGAGGACTTGCACTCAGTTCCCAGCACCCAATAGCTGCTCACACCATCTGTAACCCCAATCCCAGGAGATCTGATGCCCTCTTCTGACCTCCACAAACACCAGTCATGTACTCAGTGCACACAATCATGCAGACAAAACACTCAGCACATAAAATAAACCTTTAAAAAAATCCAAGACAGAAATCTGAGTGTACATAATGTGTTCCTATGGTCAAAAATGGCTTGTGGGGAAGGTAAGAGGCCACCTTTGCCTGGGTCCCCAAACCATGGCAAACCTCTTCCTAGAATCCTGGCTATAATAGGGCAGGGTATCCTCCCTTCTCCAAGTATTGAAAGAGAACCCACTAAGGACAAGGACTGGAGTTACTAGACTGGAAGGAAGGGCAGAGACAGCAGCAAGGGGCAAAAGGAACTATCATTGTGTGGGGGGCAGAAAGGGGACACAGCTAGCATTACAAATGCTGAAGCAAAGAATCCTTAAAAGAAAACCCCAAACCCAGGAGACCCACTGCACCCAAGGGCTCCTGCATTTTGCCCCCCAAAAGACATGCTACTCTATGAGTTTGTTATGATTAATGATACAGTTTAAAACAAATGGTTTCAAGAACATCTTGGAAAGGTAGGTAAACAGATACCAATGAGGGGTTGTTAAAGTAAGTCAACAAGGAGAACTAGCTAAGTTGCTGAAACTGGTATCTTAAGGGAGGCTGCTTTCAATGTCTTCTCAAAGGACAACCTCCTGCCAACAGATCTGACTAACGTTTAAGCTTATATTCTTAGTAAATTTCTTCTTAATTTTTTAAAACAAATGTAAGTGCAGAAACCACACAAGTATATGGAGCAGAGTTCAGATTCCCAGGACCCATGTGCATGCCAGGCACATTCAAGAGAAAGGGCATCCCTGGAGCAAGCTGGTAGCTAGACTATCTGAACTGGCAAGCCTGGGTTCCAGTGAGAGAACTTGTCTCAACGTATAAGAAGAGGGACAGAGCGGACACCTGCCATCAACTTCAAGCCTCCACATGCTCATGTATGTGTGCATGTGTACCTGCACATATAGTTGGATGTGCATTCATACAAACACACATATACTCACACAATATTCACAAGCTGACTACACAACTAAAATAGTAAACATAATACCAACTAACCTTTCAGAGAGTTTGTCAGATAGTTTCTCAAGGAACTGCATGACAGTCTCTAAAGATGAAATTCAAAAGAAAATGTTTTCAATTATGTGAAATGACATGGACATACATGTTAAAATTGTACTGTGAGGGTCATCACACATCTGGTCTCCCCTAAAGTGATGATTTTCAAAGGTAGGCAGAGTAGCCTCCATATGCTTGGGATTATTGCTACACGCTGAATATCTCCTGTGAAAAACAAATTAAAATGACAGAGTACTAATCCAAAGCCCTGGATTACATCCAATGTTAAGAACATTAATGGAAAGCAAAAGGAAAAAAAAATCCAAAGTTCCCACCCAAATGTATGTAAAAGAAGCGTCACAGATATATCTAATCGTCTGTAAATTTCAGAATGGCTAGATGCTGGCTTGATTGTAAAAATCAATGCATGCCAGTAGTCTTAGCATACAGGACACTGCGACAAGAGTCAAGCCCAGTCCAGCTCCAAAGGGAGATCTTGTCTTAAAACTGCTCAACACCCCTAGCCATCAGGGAAATGAAATCTACACTGAAATTCCATCCCCACTCTAATCAGAATGACTGTTACTGGGAAAACAGACACAGAAAAACCAACAGATTCTGGCAAGGACGGGCAGGGAGGAGTCCCTGTTCACCGCTGGTGGTAATATAATGTACAGCTACTGTAGAAATCAGCAGTTGGGGTTGGGGGGGGACACAAAACCTAAAAGAACCACCTTAAGCCACACCACTCTTGTGTGCTACCCAAAGGACTCAGTCAGTATACCACAGCAATGCTCACCCACTCACGGCAGCCAAATTACAGAAAGAGTCTAGATGTCCATCCACAGATGAAACAATGAAGTTGTGTGTGTGTGTGTGTGTGTGTGTGTGTGTGTGTGTGTGTGTGTATGTGCGTGTATGTGTGCGTGTGGGCGTGTGTGTGCGCACGCGCATGTGTGGGCCCGTGTGTGTGTGTGTGTGTGTGTGTGTGTGTGTGTGTGTGTGTGTGTGTGTGTGTGTGAAGGGTGGGAGAAGGGAGAGATGAAGTTTTACTCATCCATAAATAAATTATGTCATTATCATGAAACTGGATGGAACTGGAGATTGTCATTTAAAAATTTTAACTTATTCTTTGAGAATTTTACATGTTTACAATGTATTTTGATCATAGCCAAGAGTAAGGTGACTCACAGTAGAGGGGAGGGAAGAAGAGAATAATGGGGAGTGATTACAGTCAAAGTTCATGACATATTTAAACAAAAATGAGACTCTGAAACCCAACACCTTATTTAATATATACTAATAAAAATGCAAATAATATCAGTACAGTTTAGAAATGATTGTTTACCAAAAATCCCAACTTTAAAAAGCAAAGTTTCTCTGAATCACTTTTGTTATTTACAGACAACTGTAACATAACCTACTCAGTATCAACCTCAAGCAGAACTACACAAGGTCTTGTAATTGGTCTTCGGTGCAAACTACAGCCGTCAGCCAAAGTCAGCAGAGGCGAGGCCCCATGAGGACAAGAGCGAGAACCCCATGGTTCCCATGGAAAGTGTACCACGGTGTCTTCTGCCCCCAAACTCCATGCAATGCTTTTATGTGTGTTTCAGTCAGCCACAAACATCGCCTTTATTTTTTCCAGATGATCTTTTCTATGGGTTTAATTTCTTGCCCTCTCTTTAAGCTATCTCCTTTCGGAGTGAAATGAAATGCTAGGCAGGGAATGGGGTTAGCCTAAACCACAGCAGCAGTTCCTTGCCCCTGTCATCTTCACAAAGGCTCATACTCAGTCTGGTGTGCCAGGTTAACTGCGTCAGAAACTGAAGGGAGATGAAAACCTGCATTTGAAACTCTTCCCATCATCCTAGCTACCACACACAACAGTTCCAAGTCAATCTCTATATATGCAGCTGACTCCACATAGCCATGCTCTATTTGGTTACCCATTTTCTTTTTCTGGCAATATGCAAAGAATCTGGAAACAATATACCAGAGTCTGCCTCTGAGAAGAAGATGAAATCAGTGAAGTGCTCGCCATGTAAGCATGAGGACCAGTGCTCCACCCTCCAAAACCCACAGAGAAAAAACAAACAGGTAGAGCAGCACTTGCCTGCAAGCCCAACACTGGGAAGGTGGACACATGAGGGTCCCTGGCGCTTGCTGGCCAGACAGTCCAATTGGTACGGTCTAGGTTCAGGGAGAGATCATGTCTCAAAAAATAAGGTGGAAAGCAACTGAGGAAGGTACTAAACACCCCAGACCTACACACACACATGCACACATATGCATGTGAACGCACGCACACAGACACCACTGAATGCGAAACTCCCTAAAAGTAAACCCAATGCTCCCTCACTACATGGTTGTTCTAAGTCAGCCACTAAATGAATGGCCAGTGTAACCTCACTTCCTCTCCTTCTGCCCTGCTCTCTGTGGAGACTAGCATCCCTTCAATGCCACCACCTTTCTGAAACTCACAAGCCATCTAAGCAGTGGACCAACACCCACCTGCTAAAACTGCACAGCACTGTTGTCTGTACTAATCACTTGGCAGCAACCTTTAGGTCCTCAAGGACACAGGTCACATCTCATGTCTCTCTCCAAGACTGTTACTATACCAACCACTTGCTTGCCACTGATGGGTTCCACTATACTGCTGTGAGTCCCCAGTCCTCTCTACACTGACCTGCCACAGTGTCACAGTCAGGGTGTCCCTCTGCTCTCCTTAGGCCTCTCCTAGTGGCTTCCAGAAGACACTGACCTACTACTTCCTCAGTCTGAACTCAGAGCAGCCCAGAGCCATCCTTGGCCTGCTGTTCCTCACAGTGTACTCCGTCAGTAGCACTGTCATTACAGTGTAAGTCAGATCCTTGTCTGACCACACCTCACCCAGGGAAGGGTCCTTCATGCAGCCCTCAACATATCATTAAGCGCCTACTCTGGCCTTTCCTCAGATATATCTGGCACATTTCTACCTTCTTCCAAGGGACTAAAGTTCATTTGGCAACCTGCCAGGCCTACCCCCGAGCATGCCATATCCTACATGCACATCACATTTCTACACAAGTCTCCCTAGCAAAGGTACACTTAATGCTACGCCCCATCTCTGCTCCGCCTTTCCACAGCAATACCTACTGCATGAAGGAGGCATTCTCTTCCCCCTGCTACACTGACTTGTTCGTAGGGCCCAGGAGAGTACCTGATAGAGTGGCAACTCAGAAAGATCTCCTGGTTCCAGCTATGAAAATCAAGATGCTTCAAAGGTATGTAGATTCCTGCTATGCCATCTTTTACCAATACCCCTGTGGTGGTCTGAAGAAAATGTCTCTCCAAAGGAAGTGACGCTATTAGGAGGTATGGCTTTGTTGGAGTAGGTGTGGCCTTGTTGGAGGAAGTGTATCACTGGGGGGGGGGGGGTTGAGGTCTCTTCTTTGTTTAAGCTACACTCAGTGGGGTATACAGTTCACTTCCTGTTGCCTTCGGATCACGATGTAGAGCTCTCAGCTCCTTCTCCAGCACCACCATGTCTGCCCGAGTACCTCCACGCTCCCCACCATGATGACAATGGACTAAACCTCTAAAACTGTAAGCCACCCCAATTAAATGTTTTCCTTTATAAGAATTGTCATGGTGTCTCTTCACAGCATAGGAACTGTAACTAAGGCAATCCTAACCTTAGAGTCCTTCTGACTCATAAACTGACTACTTCACAGGGCTGGTGAGGGGTTAAATGACATATAATGATACAGTAACAGCAATATTCTAATAATATTACATATTATAAAAGTAAAATTACTGTATTTTAACCTCACTGATATTAACAGTAACTACAGAATGACAATTAATTTAAATTAATAACAAGTTAAGACTTAGATTTGACTTGCTCTCAGCACATACAATATAGGTCAAATTAGTAACTCAATTTAAAGATTAGTTCCATTAAAAGATGTCAGAAATATCAACAAATGGTACTCTAAATGTATTTTAAAAAAAGAATGCTAGAATGCTAGAATTTCAGCATCCAAGAAACTAAGAAGAGCTTGAGTTCAAAGACAGGCTTGGCTACAAGGCAAATGTCCTTTTATTTATTTACTTGTTTATAGTTATTTAAAATCGGAAGTTCTGGGCTGTGAGCACAGTTCCCTGTGGTGCCTCTCCAGCATTGTCAATCCACCCACCCACTCACTACATAGAAAGGCTGTTTCCTCAAAGTCCTGTTTGTTCTGAGAAGTTGGATAAATGGGCTCACCTGGAGTCTGAGCTATGGTTCCCTGCAGGGCCCTGTGGGAAAATGTAGAATAGCCTACTAAGTTTGCCAGAAGATCTCTGCTGCTTAGCAATTCTTCTAAACATTTCAACTGACCAGCATTGGGGTAAAGGAAAATTTTATAAGCAGCTTCCCGAACCTGTAGTTAGAGAGTGAGAATGAAAGAAGAGAAAGTCAAAGATCCAATGTCATGGCTCACAATCCTATGCAACAACCACCCAGGCCAGTGCTTCTATGTTACCCACACCTAGCCATGGCTTCCCGAGTGAAAGAACAGCCACACCAGGTCTATAGTGCTTTTATGCGGCACAACCGCACGTGCGGCGGCAGGGCTCTGGGAGGTCAATTTGCCAATGCTGTCTCTGCTAGAAAGCACTTCACACATTAAAAGTAACCCCATGACCTTCAAGGTCACTAGTCATTAACGTACTCCCAAAATGAATTCCTTCAGAGACATGAATTCTCACTAATTTCCTTATTCAAAGCATTTGTGGAATTAGCTGTGCCACAAAGTTAAATTTTCAGAGCTAAGAAATGCAACAAGATTTTGAGGACTATACTATCATGCCACTAATGATTTGGGGGGGTTAAAACAGTAGTTAGACACGCCCATTGGTATTCAGACAGGTGCTGAATAACAAGCAATGGAGGACTCCTACCAAGTCATCCGAGGCTTCTGCATGTAGACCATCAATGACTGCGTAACTCCCATCACGGGCAAAGTGGTGGTGAATGTGCTCTGGTAAGAGATGCTTCTGTATCTTGTTGGGAAAGTTGGCTCCCATGAGAAAAGCACTGCTCAAATCTAGGATCTTGACATTGAGGTCCACTGCTCTTCTGCGCTACAAGTGGTAGGAAAGGTATTTAAAAGCAGTATAAATTAGCATCTCACAAATAGACAGTCTATAGCGGTAGGAAATCAACATCTGAATTGCTGGTATAGGACGCTTGAGTGTAATCCTCTGTCCCCCCAAACCTTCATTAAGTCAGTCAACAAGTGTCTGCTTACACTTCTTCAGTAACACTTTTATAATATTTCTGAAGTAAGAAAAATAAAGTATTTGATGAGTAGATTACAAAGATGCAGAATCTTACAAGACTAGACTACAAAGGGGAAGGTAAATGTGAAACACAGTTCTGGACAAAACAACAGTAAACACCCAAGAGGTTCAGCTCAGAGGCTCTGGTTCCCACACGGGTTCCCACACAATGACAGAACAAGCCCTTAGCAGCAGACTCAAGCAGGGCACAGGGCATGTTCTTGCTATGCTAGATCAGGGAGCTATGGCAGGAGGACCACTGGCCCAGGGCCACTCAGATCCCGCCTCAAAAACAGTAAAACTAAATAAATGTAAGTAAGTAAATAAATAAACACACAAACAGAGAAACAGGGAGAGGGCTGTATGGGCAGAGCTGTACTCCACACTATCCCAAGCGTGTGCTACATGGACCAGTTCCTCACAGCCAAGCACGGTGGGGCTAGTATGACACCGGCATGTGAGTTTTAGCTTGTAGTCACACCTCCAGAGCATAGTCTCCATAGCTGAGGATGACCTTAAGCGTCAGATCCTCCGCCTCCATCTATCCCCAGATCCCAGCCCCACTGAATGATGGGATTACAAGCTTTGCACCATTATACCTGTTTTATGCAGCGCTGAGGGATGAACTCAGGACTTCATGCATGCCAGGCAAGCACTCTACCTGCTGTCTCATTCCCAGCAGGCACTACAATTACCTTAAGATGAAATATAACCTGTATCCCATGTACTCTCTGAGGTCTATCAGTGCACATCCAGTCCTTCACCAGGAAAAACGAGTCAGGCTTCAGACTGGCTTATGGTGAGCTTCAGATAATCTTATAACCTTAAATCTTATAATCTTAAAAAACTATCAAGCAACACTAGTTTTTGTTTTTGTTGTTGTTTTTTTTTTCAGACGCGTTTATAAGATGTATTTGGCAAGGGCTGGGGTGGTGCATCTCAGCTGACTGCTTGTCTATTGTGCACAAAGCCCTGAACTTGGTCCCCAGCACTGCACAAACTGAATGTGTAATCCCAGCATACAGGGGATGGAAACGACAAGATTAGAAGTTCAATGTCAGCCTCAGCGACATAGTGATTCCATGCCACACTGGGCTACATGAGACCCTGCCTCCAAAGGAAAAATAAAAGGCTGAAAAAATATAAATAAACCAGGTATGATGATATATCTATATAATCTCAGCACTGGGGAATGCTGAGGCAAGCATTTTAAATGTTCAAAGTCAGCCTGGACTACACTGCAAGTTTAATGCCAGCCCGGGTTATATAACAAGACTCCTGCCTCAGAAAAAGTAAATGTAAAATAATAACCTCAAGTTTTTAATACAGAAGAACCAAATTTTACTGGGAAATTTGGTTTCCAGCAGCTCCAAAGTCTTTTTAGTCCAGACTTCTCTTGCAGCAATGTATTGCCACCTAGTGGCAATCAATAGAGTAACAAAAACAATGAATTACAGCTCTAACTTTTTTCCCAAAGCTTTATTATGAACAAATAAAGCACATTGTAATAAAATTAGTCGTCCCCCACATTTTATCAAATGCTACACACTCTGAAAAAATTAAATATAGTTCATTTTATAAATCCAGTAATCTTCCATATTATTTCATCATTCCAGAACAGTCCACTGTGCAAGCAAGGATCACTCTACACACCCTGTGAAACTATAAGAAACACTTCCCATAGCTACAGTTAAGTTATTCAGGGGAAACCAGGGCAGGAGAAGTGCTTGAGCCCAGGAGTTCACAGCCAGCTCACGCAAGTGATCCCAGCACTCAGGAGGCTGAGGCAGGAGGATCATCACAAGGTCAAGGCCAGTCTGGGCTATAAAATCGATACAGTGTCTCAAAAAAACAAAATTAAGAGACAGGAGAAACATACAAACAGAAAGATGGAGACCTATGTATCAGATGTGGCATTGTTCTTGGTATTGACTGGTGACAAAACACCCCTACCCTAGACAGCAATATCCACACATGATCAGTCCATCTGAATTTGCAAGGAACCTCCTTCCTTCCATCAACTTTAGAACCTCTCTCAGTCACTTAGGAAGCATAAATCAATGTAAAAACCAGGTGAGAGCACAAAAGGTATTGTTTAGAAGTCTTGTCTCAGCTGAAGGCAGACACTTTTTTCCTGAATGTTTTTAATCTAGTTGGTTGATCCAGACAGAGAAGTCTCAGGCACAAGGATCTGGTTGCACATGCCCAAGAATGCCACGTACTTCCTTCCCGAGATAAACCAACTTCTGTTCCTAGATAAATGGCTTTGAGTTCACTGCATTTATTAGGATAGACAGAGCTATCTTTAAAAAAATAATAATTAGACTGTTGTCAAGCAGTTGAGAACCATTTTTGATGGTGTCCAGTCACTCTTCTACCCCAACTCTGAGCTGCTACCCACACCAGGGACTCAGTTTGGCAGAACATCAAATTCTTAGGACAGCAGCAGCCAGTACGAGAACTCTTGCCTCTAAAGCTGAGAGCCTGAGCAAGTTACTTTGCTTCTACAACTATAATGCAGAGGTGCAAACATTGTGCTAGGCTCTCCAGCCAAAGTGAACACTGTAGGTCACACCGACACCTCTGCTGTCACAGCAAGTGTGTGGACCCACCAGGCGTGTACAGTGGGAACAGACACCTCTGTCAACAGCCCCTTACTCTCCATCTCAGCTTCATACCATGGTACCTAACACTCTGTGCTGTCACTTCACTCTGGTATATCAGGGGTGATGGGCCAGCTTCCAGAAAGCACTACATTTAGACACCACCTATAGAAGAATTTTATGACCAATAAAAAAAAAGTCCTAAGCGTTCACCCAATCAAGTGACACACAAGGGCTCTGGCAACTAAATGTCAGTAACAACACTGGTCCAAAACAGCTGAAAGCCTGGTCTGGTGGCACATGCCTGTAATCCTAGTAGGATGTGAAGGCAGGAAGGTCAGGAATTCAAGGCCTACACAGCAAGTTTCAGGCTTAGAGAGATAGATGGTTCAAAGGTTAAGAGCACTTGTTGCTCTTGCAGAGGTCCAGGGATTGGTTCCGAGCTCCCACATAGTGGTTCACACCATCTGTAACTGCAGGGCCAGGGGCTCTGAAACCCTCCAAGGCCATTCGAATGCACATACATAAATGCAGCCCAACTCATTCACATATGATAAATTTAAAAGCATATTCTAAAAAAGATAAGAAAAATATTTACCTTTTCTTCATCTAGATGAATTCCACTTATTTCAAAATCAAACATAAATAGCTCAGCCACTCGCCTAAAAGAAAGTGAGCACAAGTTATAGGAGTTCATTAAAACTACAAACAAAAATCAGTCTTTATGCTCAAATCAGGACTTCTGAAATTTACTATTAAAAAAACTATTTCAACAGAGATAAGCATACCCACAACTTGTTTATTTATCTGAAACAAGGAGCTTAATATCTTGGAAATAGGTACAATCCCAGTTGACTGAGAGTCCCTACTAGCTTACCATGTAAGAGCTTATTACATGTTAGCTGGGAAAACTAACATCATAATTAGTTCCACTCCATTCAAGCCTGAGTAACTAACAACAGATCAGTTCACACTTGGAAAGCTTCTCCATCTTTCTTCCAGCAGCTGGCCAGCACCAAAAGAGGACTTGAGCTTTCTCTTTAGTCTGCCTTCAGGCTTGAAGCCAATCACCAACTTTCCTATCAATGACGTGTTTTTGTTTGTTTTTTTAAATTGCTTCTGTTTCCGGTGGTAGACTAGTGGAGTATTTGATACATTCTTCTGGCTTTGACTTTTCAAAATGGATATATTTATTTTCCTGACTACTGTATCATATAATTCTAATTATGAATTTATTGCTGTTTTGTTTTGTGAGATAGAATCTTGCTGTACAGCCCACACTGGCAAGCACCACTACACCTGGTTCACTGGATAAACAGAATTAATATTATTTTAAATGTTTTCCCACCTGCTATCCCCACAATGCTGGGTCATGCTCAGGGTCTTGCATGTACCAGGCAAGTTCTCTAGCAGTGAGCTATACTCAGCCTAGGATCTAAAATTCTAAAACTTCAGGCATCTTGAGGGAGCCTGTAGCTCCAGCACTTGGGAAAGAGAGGCAGGAAGATTACAAGTTTGAGCCACACTGAACTAATAGGGAATTCTGGAGCCTGTCTTGAAATAAACAAACTAATAAACAATTAAAGAAAGACTTAGTGAAGAAATGAATGAATCCTGTATAATTTTTTAAAAATATTCACTCTTTGATGAAACAATTCTCAGAAAGGCCACTGGCCCAGCATCATTTGCTAAATATCAGGTTTTCCCTGCTGATGTGAAATGACTCATTACATACTGCACAGTTATAACGAGATCTGTGCCTCTAGCTGCAATTTCTCCATTCTCCATTATCCAATAGAATATTCCAACTTAAGTATAAAGCCCTTCCAAATATAGCACTTTTATGTGCATGTTTGCAAAATCTGGTTCAAGACTTCGTTACTTCACCAGATATTTTCCCTAGTCTGGAGTCTCCTTTACAGCGTCAAAATCATTCTAAGTACAACAGAAAACCCTTCTTTAGACACAGACAGGGTAGTCATAAACCTTCCCAGAGGACATAGCTAGCTAGCTCCACTAAGAGCCCAAGAGCCTGAGCTGCAGGGGTCATGGGGAGAGACAAGACCAGGTCCTAGCACACCTGCTGGCAGGTGAGGTAAGTCCCTAGCACTCACACCCAGTGCGCCACTGCCTGGAACTTACATCTGAACTCAAAGCAAGGTTCCAGTCCCAACTGACCTCCATGGAATAAAGTTTTAGTTGGGGTGATAAGCCACATTCAGAGAGAGGCAAGAAGATGGAAGCAGGAAGAGGGAAATTCGGTAGTCAAAGAATGTGTGTCCCATAAACAAAAAGAGGATAAATAGGTGAAGAAAATAATTTCTATGTTATGACACCAATATCATAAACAAATAAACAGTGAGCCCTACTGTACTTACCTTATTCTTACATGTCATTTATTTATTTTGTATGCATGCATATGTATCTGTGTGTGTGTGTGTGTGTATACATGTACATGCCTGCCTTAGCATAAGTAAGGAGGTCAGAGAACAATGTCCAGGGGTCAGTGCTTTCTTTCTACCATGTGGATCCCAGGGATTGAACTCAGATCACAGGGCTTGCTGACAGATACTTTCACCTACTGAGCCTCCCACTGATCCTACATTTATTTTACAGAAAAGTATAAACAAAGAAATAAGAATCTAAGGTACTTTTGTGTACTGAGTTAGCACCAGGCTTCTAATTATAATGAATAACTGTAATCTAATAAGCCAGAGGTCATCATATTAAGGATCCTGAGAGCCACCCAGCAAATAAATCAATTTGCTGGTATCTCCTTATAATGCTATTATGGAACTATAAGCATAGAGATGGTGTGATTATCAGTGAATTGACAGGAGGCTATCACTGGTCATTCATCTTGCAGCAATGAACAAAGCTGTAAGGAGTAAGGTTTTTTCTGCCCGCCGCCTGCTCTGGTCCCGCTGCTGCACCAGCCCCAATTAACACACAGAGACTCTGTATATGATATAATTCTGTTGGTCAGTTACTAGTTTCTTATCGGCTAGTTCTGTCTTAATTATTAACCCATTTTTATGTATTTTCACATGGTTTCACCTACCAGGGAGTGGGGCAGGCATCTGGTCTCCCCGGTCTCTCCATGCTGACCCCTTTCCTACTTCCTCTTTCCTCCTCCTCCTAGTCCCTCCTATCTTCCTTTCCTATTGGCCAACAGTGCTTTATTCATTAACCAGTATGAGAAACATATACAGAATGACATCTCCCATCACAAAGCAGACTGAGAAGCAGTCTTGTAGAGCTCAGCCAGTGAGGCAGAGAGATGGAAGCAAATTAAAAAGGCAACAAATAGGAAGATGTTGGCAGGGACTACGGGTAAGAGGACGGAGCCAGACAGACATGGTGTAAAGACAAGATGTAGTGTGGCTGATTCTTGGTGTAAAATCTGGGAGTCACGGGTACTGAGAAAGGAACATTCCAACTAAGAGGGCCAGACGGCTCTCCAGCCTGGCTGCAGTCAGTCATAAGGAAATGAACGAATGTTGAGTACCTGGTTTCTGCATCAAGGGAATCCATAAGCTTCTTGTCATTTAGTAATTTCTGGAGACTCTGATACAATTCCACATTTGTGTTCAATCTAGAAAGGCCATGAATGAAAACAAGTGATTTTCTAGTCCATTGTTTAAAATTTTACTCTACATCAAGAGAAAGGCATTGATCATATACTTGCCCAGAGCTCACAACCAGGGAGTAATGTTTTGTATCTTCTTTTGAACCAGAAATAAATGTCATACTAGAAACTTCAATATAGGAACAGGCAATCCATTAAGCAAAATGTCAAAGGTACTAAGCACCCTGGGTAGGCAGCTGGAGCAGGAAGGACAGACAGGACAGAGGCGGGGGTGGCAAAACACTACACCGCTTCACCACCAATCATAGTTCTCCATTGGTCTCCTGAAAACTAAATGCTTGGACTTAAAACAGGCTGCATCTAAATTCAGCAGGGCACAACCTTCACAACATTCCAGGCAAGTGGCCTGGCCATACTGACTTCTTTCCTGAGCTACTCCTAATAGAAAGTGTTTGTTCTCCCATGGAGTCCCTTGTCCCAGTCCTTCATTGAAGCAAAGGATCATGTGTCCAGATGTGGCAGGAACTGATTTTATCCTCACAGCACACATCAATAACTATAAAAGTCACGTTTACTGTGCCTAAGTGGGACAACCCTGCTCAATGGGACAGAAAGGGCAGCCATACCTCCTAAGATATGAGGTCTTCCAGGAAGTCTGTTAACTAATGAAGCCACCTCCTCTCCAACTTCTGGTCTCTGAAATAGTCTCCTCTGGCTTGGTCACACACTTGTGCTTCAGAACATACAGCACTGTCCACAGTGACTTTAGCAATCACTTTGGATCGTTCATAAAGGCTTCACTTCAGATTACCCCCAAATCACTGTAGGCACATTTGTTTCCTGGTGACCTCCACCTGTAGCCTTCCTTAGCCCTCTCAGTGTTGAGACATTCCTAATCCCTACTCAACAAGTCTGTAAGGTTACTTTGTGTAAATATGTATTTTGGCTTCCCACCTTGTGGCCCACAGTCACATATACAACAGCAATTGGCTCATAGTGGAATCCAGGAACTCCAAATAGCCACAACGATACTCAAAAGACGTTACTTACTGCGCTAGCTTGCTCTCTATTGCTGTGAAAAGACCATAAACAAGAGCAACTTGGGGAGAAAAGAGGTTATTTGGCTTATATGTCTGATGCCATACTGCACTGAGGGATGCCAAGGTAGGAAATGGGAGGCAGGGACTGAACAGAATCCATGGAGGAGCGCTGCTCTCACCCACCCCATGGCTTATACAGCCTGGTTTCTTTTCTCTTTTTTTTTTTTTCAAAAACATAACTTGTTTTTAGTGATTCTTTGAGAATCTCACATCATGTACCCCAATCCCACTCACTTCTCAGTCCCTCCATATCTGCCCCTCACCCCTGTAGCTTCCCCCCAAAAAGAAACTTTTTAAAAATATTAATTAAAAACAACAACAGAACCACTTCACTCCTTCTTTCTCGCCTCTCCAACATCTCAGTTATGTCACATGGTACCCTTTGGTCCACTCAACTTTACTTGCAAATGTTCATTACAATGAGTTGTTGGTCTAGTTTGAGGCTTCTGGCTTCTGGTATACCATCAATACTTGACCCTCACTGAAACTCCTCTCAGATATCCTATTTTTGCCCCAAGTCATAGAGACCCTGGGGCTATGGTTCTGCAGAACCAATCCCTTCACGTGCTCCAGCAGGTCACAGATGGGGTAGATGCTGGAGTGGGCCAACTCAAAGCCCTGGATGTGGGTTGGGATGGTAATGCTTTGGTCAGTCCAGGCCACTGGGAGCACCCCCCTCAGGCAAGGAATTAGCCAACTCTTCTCTTCCCATGCCATCAGGGCCAGCTTTCCCACACGTGTGGGAGGAGTAGACTCATCTCTCCCGAGTATAGGGCCAGCTCTTCTGCTGCAATGGCCAGTGAGGGCCAGGGCCAGCGAAGGGATGTGCCACTGACACATGGTAGTATTTATCATCATTATTATTGATGGTAGGCAATTCCTCCATTGAGGGCCCCTACAAAAACCAACCAGCACACTTACCATCAACAATAATGATAACAAATATTACCATCTGTCCCTGTGTACCTGACACCTTTTAAACATCTCACATTTACCTCCTTTCATTTTCACACATACAGCAATCCTAAAAGTTGACTCCATTATCTAATTACAGACAAAGGAAGAGAGGACAGGTGAACAACCCCAGCAGCAGCATTGAAAGGAGACCCGCCCCAGCCTCCCACCCTACCTTCCTTACAGCTAGAGCACACACTTCCTCCCACCTGCCCTAGGAGTGACAAGCACTATACACAAAGCCACCCTAGAGTGGAGGAGACATACTTTTCCACCATGGTGCCGATACTTCTGCAGGCCTCTTCTGCAGCCTCTCTGTACGCGGGCTCAGGGTGTCCGATTTTCACAAAGTCTGCCTAACAAAGGCAAAAGACAAAACCAAAAGGGACTTTAAAGGGTGCTGGATTCTAAAAACAAGGGTGCAAACAAGGCCAGATCTAGGATGTGCTGCTCCAAGAATTCCCACACTGAATTTGCCTCTACTGAGGCAAAACAGATTCTTTTTATTCTTTGATGTTTGTGAACTCTGTACTACCTGTTTCATTTCAGAGTAGGTATTTTCATGAACTCCATTTTACAAGCGTTTCACCTTCAAATGAATAACCAGTAAATCCTTCCTATCCTACAATTCCAATTAGCAGACATCTTGGTCTTGAACATTTTAAAACTTTGGAACTCAAACTGCAGTGTGACATTCCCATGCTGACCCAGCTAAGAGAGTCACTTAGACACACCTTTAAAATGACAACTAATTTCAAAACCAATTTAACATTCTAGGCTGGGGTTGTGGGGGGGGGGGTACATTCTCTTTATAGAGCCTTTTATAAGAGGGAAATATGCATTCCTGATCCTCATCCTGGTTGTATACTGTTCTTGTTATGCCAAACACGATGATTTAATCAAGGATTCTCTTTTAAAAATCACATAAAGCAAGCATCCATGTTAACTACAGTACACAATAACAGAAACCTGCAAGTAAATAAGAAAATGCAGGGAAACTATGAAACACCCCACATCTTTTTTACTCTCCATGTATGAGAGAATGACTATATGACTACAACATGAAATAAAACCAACCTAAGGGAGTCAAGCACCGTGGAACATACCCATAATCCCAGCATTCAGGAGGCGAAGGATCAAATGTACCAGGCCAGTTTGTGCTAACAGTGAGACACTGTCTTCAAAAGTCAAAACAACCATCACAAGGTAAAATTTCCTCATTTTATTATCAAATAACATTCAATGCAAAAGTATTTTAATCTCTAGTTTAGTGCACCTGGTACAACATTAAGTCACCATTAGATCACTACTAAGGCACCAGAAAAATGAGCTGTGTAACATGTACGATTTATTTTACAGATTGCCCTCCTACATATTACAGAAGTTATAAGGTGGAAAATAAAAACGTTAGCATGTCTCTGTGTGTGCAAACGTCCCTGCATGTGCACTGAAGGCGAAAGTTGATACCAGATCTCTTCTTCAATTTCTTCTCTTCCTCGCTTTAGACAGTGTCTCTCTCTGAACCTGGAGCAATCCTCCTGCCTCTACCTCCCTCGTGCTGGGGCATCAGGTGTGTATCACCACACTGGCTCCTTACACAGTGCTAGGGAGCAAGTCTGGTCCTCGCTACTGGGACAAAACATTTTACTGTCCACGACACCATCAATTCAGCCCCTTTAGCATAAATGCCATTTGTAAAGGTAAGGAAGAAAACAGTACTATTTCATAAAAAGTACATGAGAAAAAGAAAACAAAACAAAATGTCCATTTCCTGACAGCTTATGAAATTCTTGCCTTACAATGGTACTGATCCTATGGGCAGGAGTACCTTAAAAATTAAAAAAAGAAAAGACAGTCTTTGCCTTATTTTATTTACCCAGAGAATTATACATACAAATTACATTATAGTTTGCTTGGGTTTCTCTTATAGTTTGCTGTTGTTGTGAGACAGTATTTCACTATGTGGCTCAGGCTGAGCTCAAACTCATGATCTGCCTGCCTCAGGTTCCCAAGTGCTGGCATTCAGGCATGTAACACTGCACCTGGCTAGAAAACAGTTTTTAAATGAGACACTTCTTATATTTCATAAATAGTTTTAAAGCTCAAAATGTAAGACATGAAGACATAGTGAGTTCTAGGACAGCCTAGGCCACACAATGAGACCCTATCAACACACACAAACACACAGAGAGACAGAGATTAGTGGTTGCCAAATTGAGGCAGATGAAGACAGATAAAGGGATTAAGTTAGTTAATCCAGATGAGGCTACCATCGAAGCACTGCCTAAATCTTCTAAAAACCAACGAAGTCCAGAACATTACCTAACTCGGGCAAAGCTGATGCTTTTTAACTCATCCTGGTGACTACAGCAGTGCTCTGTATTCCGCAACCTCAACATTGAACACTGAGGAAAATTCTACATAGGTCAGAACTACATCAGAGTCTGAACAATCACCTGTAGTAATACAAATAATCAAGTCTGGGCCCTTCTCTGGTAAAAAGGCTCAGCAGGGGAAGTCTGGCTTGCAGGCTGGCCACCGAAGTTTCAGCCGTGGATTCTATCTACAAGGTGGCAAGAGGGCAGACTCGAGACAGCTTTCCTCTGCCCTTCACACACGCATGCGCCTGCACTCACACACACCCTTGTTTGTGTCTCTAAAGTCTCACCAAGTCGGCCACTCTGCACAGGCAATCTGAGAGCTCGTCAAAGATGAGGACCGTCTGTGGACCTGGAGGCGTGGAACATGCTCGCTCCACAAGCCATTCCGTCTTCCTCAAGGTCTCCTTCTGGGCAACATGGAATCCTTCAGGGGTGCTGAGCTCAGGAACTCCAAAAAGACCCTAAAAGTCCAAAACAACATTTCCAATTTATAGCCAAAAGTATAGTTTCGTTTTGTTTTTCCCTAGAATGACTTTTGCATGAAGCCCTGATTTTAGTTGGTATATCTAGACTACCCATATCTGTGCTCAGGGCAACAGCATCACTCTTTCTGTGTATATATGTGTGTGTATGTATATATATGTGTGTGTATGTATATATACATACACACACATATGTATATATATAATTTAAGATTTCTTCAAGCCCTCTTTCCTTTTCAAAAAGAGGCAAATGGTATAGGTCCAGCTGTCAGCTCTGTGGCCCCATAAGAAAATGACTGGGAGGACTACATAAAGATTCAAAGGTTTAAGAAAATCTGCAACAGTGCCTAGCACGAGACAGCACGTAACAGACTTTAATGACAACCATAATCAGTTTACAGCCTTGATCATATGATCACTCCTTCCAGGCTTCAGTTTTCTTACCAGATATATTAAGGCTAGCAGCACACATCCAACAGTATAGAAACATACTAAAGCAGTAAGAATATGTGAAGTGAAGACCATGCCTCTCACAGAGCAATGTTTCCACACATAATACCAACCCGTCCACTACTACAAAACAGAGGACAGCAGACACACAAGCAGACTTCACATACCAAACCCAGTCACTGGCTGAAACTAATGCATTTCAGTATTTTTTCCTTTCTTTTCTTTTTTGGTTTTTCCAGACAGCATTTCTCTGTGTAGCTTTGGAGCCTGTCCTGAAACTTAGCTCTTGTAGACCAGGCTGGTTTCGAACTCAGAGATCCGTCTGCCTCTGCCTCCCAAGTGCTGGGATTAAAGGTGTGCACCACCACCACCACCACCACCACCACCACCACCACCACCACCACCACCACCCGACTGCATTTCAGTATTTTAATAAAGAAAAAACAATCACTAATCTAATGGGAACAACCATTAAAACAAATCCTTATAAGGCAGTTCAAGCATGAATCCTAGCAAACTCCAGGAAAGGAGAAAGCCAACATTTAATATGACATATGCCCAAGTGTGACATGTACTTTACATAGATTCTCTCATCTAAATCACACAGTTCTATAACAAGGAGAAACATGCTTTTAAGTTCTTTTTGTATTCTGTGACAGTAGCCTGGAAACTCAGTTCCTCCTGTCTAAGTACCAGAAATGCTAAGATTATATGTGGGTGCAACCACTTTCACCCAGAAATATGCTTTAAGAGAAGACATTTGGGGTATAATGACACACAACTGAATTCTGGCACTTAACAAATTCCAGGGCAGCCAGGAATATACAAGCAAAACCCTAGCCTCAAAAAAGCAAATAAAACTAATGGTTCAGAGGATAAAGGTAGTTGTCACCAAGCATGATGGCCAAGGATAATGATACAATTTCATTCCCCCATGATGATGAAGGGAAAGAGCCTACCTCTACATGTGACATACTCATGTGTATACACACATATACATGAATACACACACACACACACACACACACACACACACACACACACGGTGCAGAATAAATGTAATAAAAATACTTTTTTCAAAAGTTCCCCAACTTGAAAATCTTCTGTATCTAAAGTCTATGCATCAAAAAAAAAAGCCACGGGGCAGTGGTGGTGCATGCCTTTAATCCTGGAGGCTGGTGGATCTCTGTAAAATTCAAGGTCAGCCTGACCTACAAACCCAGTGCCAGGCCAGACAGAGAAACCCTGTCTGGAAAAAACCAAGGGAGGGTTGGTTCGGTGGGTAAAAAGCACTCAGTTCACAAGCCGAGGACTTGAGTCCAATCCCAAAAACCCATGTAAGAAAGTGACTCAGAGGCCATCTAGATGGCTCACTGGGTACAAAGTGCTTGCCTCCAAGCCTGGAACCTACTTCAGCTGCAGGGGATCCCACACCCTCTTCTTGCCTCCTTGTGCACACTTGTGACACTGCACACATGTGGCACATTTACATACATTTGGGCAAAACACATATAAAAGAAACAAACAACCTTAAAGCTGAATTTTGTGGCATGCAACTATAAACCCAGCACTCCTACTAAAAGATAGAAACAAGGAAATAGCCCAGAAGTCCAAGGACCAGATAGAAGAGGGTAAGAAAACCTGGAGTATACAGTCCATTAGCAAAATCAAGAGAGACACTGGCTTCACAAAGTAAATGACAAAAGACCCCTAAAACTTGTCCTCTGGCCTGCACCTGGCCTGCACTCATTCACATTCATGAAGAGACACAATAAATATTTTTTTTAATATGACTGGAATCAGTTATATCTCAGACACTCAAAACCAAGCTTACCTTTCACCTCTTTCTGCTCAGTACTAATAGGCAGTTAGTTCTATCACCGACTCCATTAATACCAGCATCCTACCCTTATGGGTCTTGGAGGTAATTTTATATAGAAAGAACTTTCAAACAGAGAAAGCTAAACACAGAGATGCTCACACCATGAAATGCAATGCAACTAAACTGCAGACTCATCTTTACAAAGGTGCCACCAAGTGAAAAGCTAAAAGGTAAAATTGACCCTTAACCTTCAGGACAAAAATCTGCAAATGCAAACAAAATAAAGGGATCCATTGGGCAAACCATTCTCAATCATCCCTGCCTTCATTATCAAGTATCCAACCCGCCACCACAGGCAGCGTGGAAACAGCCAAGCAATTCTGTCTGGTTAAGCAATCAACTCCAAGGCACGACAGGAAATCTGATTTTTCGCGATAGGGTTTTGTTGCTTTCTTTTTCAACACAGGTTCTTGGGTTTGCTAGTCCCAACTCGGTTTGGAGCCAAAAAAAAAAAAAAAAAAAAAAACACTGCCCTTTGAACCCGCTTGCCTTTGCCCATCAAGAGAGTCTTAACAAGCAGGAGCCACCATGCCTGGTTTAATAGGTTGTTTCAAAGCAGCTTGACATGGACAATTGAGGTGTTTTCAACGGAAGAGGGTCGTTAGAAGGCCAAGTGTGAACCCTGGAGCCAGAGAGAAAAAGAGCGAACTTGAGCAGGGAAAGAAAGGGCTGAGTGGGAAGCCAGTGGGACAGCAGCCCGGGTGCGCACTTCTCCCTGCACAGTCCACTTTCAGCCGGAGGCGGAGCCCGCGCTGCCCAGACCCAGGGCACGCTCACCCGGCGCTCTTCCAACAGCTGCCACAGGCGGCCCTGGGGCTTGGCGTTGAAGGCGGAGCCCACCGGGGTCCAGCTGGTGCTGAAACTCCGGGCGCGACCCCCGCTGCGCAGGCCGCCTCGGCCTGCCGGTCTCCGCAGAGCCGCTCCGGCTCCCAGGCCGCACAGGCTGCAGCCGTACCGCAGCATCCCGGCCACCAGCAGCATCGTCTCAGACCCCGGCTCAGTCAAGTTCAGGAAGCCCGCGCCCCGCGTTTCCAAGGCAGCGGCCCACGCCACGGCACGTGATGCTCGCACCGCCCTGACGGCGCCCGGTGCAGGCTTGGGATTTGAGCGCCTGGCTCTCAAGCAAGAACGTCACTCTGATGCCTTCTGAGCAACCGAAGTTTCGCAGCGCCCTCGTGTGTCTGGAGGACGAAACGTGCTGAGTTTGCGTTTTCCCTCCCTCACAGTGTTACTGGGGCGCTGGGAGAAATTGGTCAGGCTTTGAATTTCTAATGGGTGCCAGGAATGAACATGAGAACTCGGGTGAGTTCTTGATGCCTTCTCAAAGGAGACCTAGTGACAGCGCTTGAAAGGATCCAGGGGAAGTTACATACAGTCGGAATCCAAGGCATCTGTCTGGTCCTCCAAGAGGTTGAAGTCACACCTATGTTTGCAGAGAGCAACGTAAATTAACCATAGAAAATCTTCATTTATTTTGGCTTTTGAAACTATTGATATATCTTGAGATGATATGGTCTATAGGGTCTTGATGGGGTTTGTTGTCTCTGCCAGTAGAAAAATTAAAAGTCAGGAAAAGTATGAAGTGCAACATGTAGCCGCAGAGAAATCCCAAGCATCACAGACAGAATAGCAGTTGATGAAAAGTGCTTGCTGGGGGTGAGGAAACACATATGCAGCAGGCACACAGAGAAAAAGACCCTCTGCTTGGCAGAGGAGACTTGGAAAGCAAAACTCCGATCTCTTCTAAAGGGCTGAGGGTTTTAAAGCCTCTGAAGGGTTTTCCTACCCTGATTTAAGATAGGTCAGTTTAAAGAAAGCCAGGGTGGTTGGTTGGCCCGGAACTGTGATGTGACACATCCTGAGTCAGTACTGAAGTCGTTGAGACTGTCCATCAGCAGGGACCTGCTGTTGGCAAATACAAGCTGAAGGTTGAAGAAGAAGCTGGCCACCCCAAATATCAAGCAGACTGCAGAAGTGAGAGGGCACGGGCTGGCAAGGAAGGCATTAGGAAATCATGAGCACATGGCTGGGAAAGAAGGAACCATGGTACAGATATGAGAGGCTTGGGGAAGTCTCTTGACAGCCCCAGCCTTCTTTAGAGGAATACAGTCACATCTTTGTAGGTCAGGGTGCTGGGCTCTGCCTGGACCAGAGTTTTCCTTCCTAAGGTGCAGTCATCTCCTGCAGGTGACATATCAGGTGGCAGTCATATATGCTCTATAGACATTGGTAGAGAAGAAATGACAAGTTGGAAGGTTTCGTGTATGTTTGGTTTGTAGACAGGATCTTGCTTTGTATTCCAGGCTGGCCTGGAACTTGCCATGCACCCCAGTCTGACCTCAATCTGGCTATAATCCTGCCTCAGTATCCTGAGAGCTGGGACTCCAGACAGGAACCACCAACCCAGACGAAGGATTTTGTTATCAAGAACTTGATTTTTCCTTGAGAGATTGTATTACAATCATTAAAAACCCAGAGACAGATATTGAGATTCAAGCTTTAAGCTGAAGACCAGAGAAGCAAAGCAGCCGAGCCAGTAGATCTTACCTCTACCAGCTGAAATGAAAATCCTATCCCCACAAAGCCTCAGAGGCAAAACTCTCTCAGTTCCTGTCTCCTCCTCCTTTTGTTTCTTTCTGTACCCAGCCATATCCTACTGTCTCCGCCTTTCTAGTGCTGGGAGTATCTGCATGAGCTCTGTTACTCTTCACTCTTGTGTAGACCAGGGTGGCCTTGAACTCAGAGTGATCCATCAATCTGCCTGTCTCCTGAGTCCTGGGATTAAAGGTGTGTGCCATTACTACCTAGCTTCTACAGCTAACTAGTGTGGCTGGCTTTGCTTTCTGATACTTCAGGAAATCTTTATTAAATCATAAATAATATATCACCACAAGAGATTGCTGTGGGTACAGGTGGGGGCCCAGTGGATAGAAAAGGGATTTGGGGGTTGGAGAGATGGCTTGGAAGGTGAGTTCCAGAGAACCCAGGTTCAATTCCCAGCACCCACATGTCTGTAACCCCAAGATCTGACACCCTCACACAAACATACTTGCAGGCAAAACACCAATACACATAAAATAAAAATAAATAAATTATAAAAAAAGGCAGAAAGACAGAAAGAACAAAAGAAAGAAAGAAAGAAAGGGGTTTAAGTATCCCAGCCTTTAGGAGGTAGAGTTGAAAGAATCAGAATTTCAACACACACACACACACACACACACACACACACACACACACACACACACGGGAAGCAAGAGGGGCTTACAGTGGTGGCAGGATGATGGGGTAGATGGGCAGCAGAGAAAGATGAGCTGACACTCAGTTTGCCATTTCCTTCATTCCTTTTTCTTCAGTCTGTGGTCCTAGCCCATGGAATGGTTTCAGCCTCTTTCAGAGCAGCTCATTTGCTCTCCAATTAAACCTTTGTGGAAAAGCCTTCACAGTCTGGACCAGAGACGTGTCTCCTGGGAGCTTCTAAATTCAGTCAAGTTGACAATGATGGTTAATCATCACAGTCAGGGTTTGGAAACCAGTAAGAGAAGCAAGTGTGTTCCGAGGAGCATATGAGTTGTGGATACAAGTGTACAATTCACCATCACCACCAGGTACCCAGATGGGCAGGAAGAGAACCTACCTGAAACATACCCAAACAGCCCAGCAGTAAGAGCACATAAAGAACTGAAGAGTTATAGCAAGTGATAATGAGGAAATTGAGGGTGTTAAGAGAGGGACTATTGATCTATAAGACATAGGAAGGATGTCAACTTGGGCAAGTCCAGAGGGCGGACTATTGTGGGGATGATTATGTATCCTTATAAGACATGTTAAAGTACTAATCTTTGGTACTAGCAAATCTGAGCTTATTTGGGTAGGGTCTTTACAGATGGAATCAGATTGGGATGGACCTGAGTCCAATATGACTGGTGTCCTCTTTAGAAGAGGAAAGTTTGGACGTGTGCACTTACAGAGGAAACCTATGTGGAAATACAGGCAGAGACCCTGAAGTAGTGTGTTTCAAGCCTGGGGACACCAGTGGCTGGTAGAAGCTAGAAGTGGTAGGAAAGGACCTTCCTTCAGGGATTTAGTCTCAATCTTGCTGACACATGGACCTTGAACTTCTGCTCCCAGAACTGTCACAGGGTATATTTGATGTCTTAACCCACCCGCCTTGGTTATGAAAGTCCTAGAAAGTTAATATAGATTCATCCCAACTATTCTTTGAGTTGTATGGCATAAACGCCTATGTTAGAAAATAAAGTACCCATAGTTGTATTGAGTTGCCTCCTGGGGTGTCTCACTGACACTTGCTTAAAGCATTAAGTAATTAAATGGAATAAGTAGGTCTTTTGCAGCTCTGAGAATGAAACCCATGCATACTATGCAAATGCTATCCCCACTTAGACATAATCCCATCTCATTTTCCTTTACTTTCCCCTAATATCAGTAATCATAATGTGGCCCTTAGAGCAGGAATGTGACACTAGAACTCTCCCCACCACAAACACAAGCAGAGGATGCCTTGGGTAAGGGAGCAGTGATGTGTTAAATACATTGTAACAAGCAGGCTGAGGACAGAGCTCTGTGGCAGGGCATTTGCCTAGCATGCCCAAACCCTGGGTTCCTTCTCTAGCATGGAAAATTATCACAACAATCCCAGCCACTGTTTACTCTTTTAATCTTTCAGAGATTCTAAACCAAGTGTGGTGGTGCACATTTTTAATATCAACATTCATCAGGCAGAGGCAGGTGGATCTCTGATTTCAAGGCCAGCCTGGTCTACAGAGCCAGTTCCAGGACAGCCAGGAATACATAGAGACAACCTGTCTTGAAAAATTCAAAGAGAGAGAGAGAGAGAGAGAGAGAGATTTCTAAGCTATATACAACTGTGTCAATACATTATGATTAAAAAAAATCCCTTACATTATTGTAGTGGTTACATATGTAGGCACATATGTTCCCCAGTTGGTGGAACTTCTTGGGAAGGGTTAGGAGGTTCGGCCTTGTTAGAAGAGGCATGTCATTGGGAATGGGCTTTGAAGTTTCAAAAGCCCATTCCAGGTCCAGTCTCTCTCTCTCCCTCCCTCTCTCTCTCTCTCTCTCTCTCTCTCTCTCTCTCTCTCTGCTTAGTGTTTTTTGTTATCTGGGTCAGTTGGGAGCAGTTGGAATCAGCAACTTAATCCCTTGTAAATTCTGTTAAAGATTTCCATGAAGTATCCAATTACTTCCCCATGTGATGGTTTTGTTAAGAGAGCAAAGCCCTCTGCTGGGAACAGGGACAGATACAGAGACAGATTCACAAGGCACCCCTCAGGCAGACACAGATTCAGACTCATACGACAGACAGGAAAAACAGAAGACACATAGAACACTACAGGGAGGACAGAAGATGTGTGGAACACAAAGTAGGGAATTCAAATCTGGATCCACTCTTGGTTAAACCAGTGCTTTGACTGCTTGGCTTAAAGGGACACTGATGCATTGTTGGTATCTCTGAGTTTATTATTAATGTGCTCAAATGACTGGAATTGTAGGATTAGCATTCCACCTCTACATTTTAGGATTGATACAATAATTGGAGGAGTGGATACAGTCACATCCCACCTTCCCTGAGCTAGTTTGGGGCACCATGATGAGTCCTTTGTGTCATGAGCTGCTGAAGAGAAGGAAGCCGGTGAATGTGGTATCATCATCCTCATCTGCAAACAAGCCATTAAACCTCTCTCCTCCTGTCACCTGCATCCACACCTCGTCCCCAAGCTTCAATTCCAGCACAATGCCACCGGAGGCCTGGTCTTCGGAGCTCATGTAACCATCCTTGGTATGCAGGACTTTAGCCCCATTTTTGACCAAAGAGACCTGCACATTCCTGGAAAAAACAGTGATGTGGAAGGTGAAGTAGTAGACACCAGCCACATGGCAGGTGAATTTCCCTGTCGCTACATTGTAATGGTTCAGTTCATTGTATAGGACCTTATCAAATTTGATGGGTGCATCAGGAGGAGGGAACTTGCTGATCACCGTGAGCCCCACTGTGAAAGCACTCTTGGGGAAGATGGGAGCCTCTCCCACTTTCCCTTTCTCTCCTCGATCACCTTTCCAGCCTCTTATTCCTCTGACTCCGGGCTCCCCCTGGGGGCCCATGGGTCCGGCTTCTCCCTTAGGACCTGGTTTGCCAATGGGGCCCATTGGGCCAGGTAAGCCCTTGGGGCCCAAAGGTCCAGTACTGCCCACCAGTCCTTCTGGACCAGTGGGGCCCACATCGCCTTTATCTCCCTTCTGCCCCTGAGGGCCAGTCTCTCCTGGCAGCCCTTGCTCTCCGGTAGGACCAATGGATCCCTTTGGGCCATGCTTCCCTGGGGATCCTCTGGAGCCCGGATCACCTTTGATGCCTTTTGCTTCAACTCTTCCATCTTCTCCTAAATAGAGGAGGATAATAATGATACTTAGGATACATTCCCTTGTGCTCAATGTTGGACTTTCTACCACTAAGTGTTCAATTGAGACAAAGTAGTGTGTAGGTTTGAGATCTGCTCAGAGTCTGAAAATTCACAAACTCCCAAATTGCATGCTGGGAAATGCACATGTAACACATGTAAGCACACACACAAACCCACTTTTTTTTTTTTTTTTTTTTAAGACAGGGTTTCATGTAACCCAGAATGGCTTCAAATTCACTATAGTCAAGAATGACTGGATGATCTTGAACTTCCAGTCCTCCTGCCTGCACTTCCTGAGTGCTGGGACTATAGCTGTGTTTGACCATTCCCAGTTTATGCAGTGCCTGGAATAGAACCCAGGGCTAAGCAAACACTCACCAACCGAGCCACATCCCTAGCCTCCAAAAGTATACTTTAGTCAGTGCCAGGGCTCATATGAGTAATGACAACTGGCCAGACACAAGGCCACCCTTGGGAGAAGCTTGCATCTTTGAAGGAAAACATGACAAGGAGCAGATCAATCCAGACTGCTGAGTAACAGGACCTCGGTCCTAGGCGAGTGACAACCCCTCAAGGAATGGACCTGGAATCAGACGTTCATGAGGCCCACATGCCTGCCGACTGTGGAGTCCTGGTCTGCCCTTTCTGCACCAGTCTTCCCCTGTCTACATGGACACTCCACACCGTTGACTTCCTCCACCTGTACTTGGAGGCAGTGGTGGTGCTTGTGAGCAGAAAGCCTGTGCTTACCTCAGAACAACACCTACCCTTTCTCCACCCCACTCCAGCCCCAGCACACATGGATGTACTATATAAGTAGGTAATGAGCCTCCATCACATTTTTCTCTCATCTATGGAGCTGGAACAGTAATGCTACCTGAGGTATAGAACTCTTCTACGTTAATAAGAAACCTTAGATTAATGCCCAGAATGAGTTGCATGCATTTGGCATTAGAGTCATCTCTCTCCTCATCAACTGACTACTTACTCCCTACACTTCAGGTTGCAATTCATTCTGGGAAATTACTGGCCACTGAGCTGTATCTCCTGCCTGGAACCCTACTCAAGCGCCACTTTCTTCTTGAAGTAGAGACAGATGCACTGGGTGAAGTGGAACCTCCCTCCCTGGTGCTCATCCAGTAAATCAGAGGCCAGCACATCGTGGCCTGCTGCCCATATCTGTCCTCCTACCTGATTTTACACAGCTCATAAGCTAAGAATAGTTTATACGTTTTAATGAGCAAAAATAATATCCCATCATGGTGTGGTGGCCACAGACTCCCCATCTCAGCTACTCAGGGGGCAGACAAAGTGGATAGCCCGTCCATAGCTTTCCTGGTCTACATAATGAGGCCCAGGCCAGCCTCAGAAACTCCACAATACTCTCTCAAACTAAAAAGTTACACAAGAGAGGTGCCAAGGATAAGAAACTATTGAATGCTTAGCCAAAAATGGGCTATCTATGCCATCCCCTTCACTACCCAGAGGACATCGTGGAAGAGGGCGTAGAATGGAATGTAAGAGCCAGAGGAAGGAGTGAGGAATAGAACACTGAATCCCAGACATGAGATGGCTGCTGTACTCTTGAACTCACAGCAGCTGTGATTACCCTCAATACTCTGCCATGGAAGAGAAAGCTCCTGGGGCCCCACACTCCCCTGAGGATGTATATGCAGTCAGTGTGTGATGTGGATGGGATCACATTTTCTTCATTAGCTATTAATAAGGGTCACCTGCTCCTACAAGCACACTGTGTGCATATAAATACTCTATTGAAACTCACTGGGTCACACACACCAGAAAAGAGAGAAATCAGGAGAAGAGAAGCAGCAGAAGAAGAATGGGACCTGTGGGACTGGCCAGCATGGGCAATGGATGAAAATGTCACAGTAGACTCCATGATCTGTAACATATGTACATCAGGAGATGATTTTAAAGAGAAGGCTGTGGCACAACAGCATTTGCTCAGCATGCATGAAGTTCTAGGTTTACTCCCTGGTACTGGGACAGGGGAGCAAAAGTCCATACTATGCAAAAAGGATATATACAATGCAAACATTGGTCTTCCACCCTCAGCTCCCCCAGAACATGGCAACACTTGTTTGTGTGGCGTCTGCAGCTGCCTATTGGTGCAGGGTCAGATCCTACAGCCCACAAAGCTGAGACTTGTTTCCAGGAAGAGTTTTTTATCCCTACATGCACCTGTAGCTCTTGAAGAGCGAGAGTATGTTGGTGGCTAATCTCGATTATCAATTTGACAACATCTAGAATCAACTAAAACCCAAACATCTGGGCACACCTGTGAGGAATTTTCTTTCTTCCTCCCTTCCTTTTTCCCTCCCTCCCTCACTCCCCCCCACCTTTCTTTCGTTTGTTTTTTGAGCAGGTTTATCTGTGTAGACTTGGCTGTCCTATAGCTCACACTGTAGATCAGGCTAGCCTTGAACTCACAGAGATCTGCCTGCCTCTGCCTCCCAGCTGCTGGGATCAAAAGCACATATCATCACATCCCCGTGAGGCATTTTCTTGATCGGATCATTTGAGGTGGGAAGATCTACCCTAAATTGGGCCACCCCTTTTGTCACCAGCCCACTGTGAAAGGACACAGAAGGACACTTCTGCTTTTTGCCTGCTTGTTTTTGTCCTAGCTGGCAGATCTATCTATCCTGTTGCTGGGCCATTCCTTTGCTGGTGTTAGAATCTACTTCTTTATGATTACAACATAGACTGAAGACCAGCAGCCGTTTAGGAATTCCCTAGGATTCTAGAGCTAGATTGGGACTGCTGAAACATCCAGGCTCATAAACTGAACAACTAACAGATTCTTGGCCTTCCTGTTGGGAGACAGCCATTGTTGAACTCCCCAGACCACAACCTTATAACCACCACCACCACCACCACGTGTGTCGTGTGTGTGTGTGTGTGTGTGTGTGTGTGTGTGTGTGTTTATATTTCTATACAATCATTCTACCAGTTCTGTTCCTTTAGAGAACCTTGACCAATACAGTGGCTTATGCTGGGAGCAGCAGGCAGGTCAGTCCACAGTGGTGCTGAACAGCTGCAGTCAACCCAGCATGTGTTAGAGCAAAGCCATAGCCCACCTGGTTCTCCTTTTTCCCCACGAATTCCATCCTTCCCTGGGCCACCGGGATGTCCTGGTAATCCTAGGTGGAAGGAAAGAAAGCAGACAAGAGTTGAGATTCCAGTTCCAGTGTCCTTGCTGTGAGTCCCCAGGGCGATTGATATGGAAAGTCCTGGGGCGCCCCAGCCCACCCCTTTTCCCACCAGTGCAGGTGGAGGTAGCAACTGTTAGTGAGTACCCAGGGTGTTGAGTCATGTAGGATGAGCAGGTTATGAAATGGGTTGGTGAATTCCTGAGCCCAAGGAGCACCAAACAAGACAAACTAAAACACCAAGAGCCATGCTGTAAGCTTGTCTCAGGAGGAGAACTTGGAAATGGTCTGGATGTGGGAGGTGCTAGACATATCTCTCTGATCCCTTTCTACCATCCAAAGAGTGGAGTGGAAGGCTCACCAGATTCCGTGAAACACAGAGAACTCCATGATATGACTGTTGGGGGAAGGAAAGGCGTTGTAGACAGGAAATGAGCGCCACTGAACAGGCTGTGATGGGACACTAGCGTTCCGCTACTCAGACACTGTCCTAAGTCTGGGAGGAGACCACCAAGTCCCACCTTCGCCTGGTGTGTGTATGCATGGTGAGACGGCCAGAGCACGGTAACCGAAGAGTTCACAAGGCCACAGTTTACTCTAGGTTCTGTCTCATTCAAATCAGCCAAAACCCCAAAACTTCAACCCTGCCATTCTAGTTGTGGGGTGACAAGCAGCTGGGGCACTCTCCAGCTTCCAGGACTGGGGAGTGACACAGGGTGATTTGCATCCATCATAACGCCTGGTGTTACCCCAAGCAATCCCACTGAACCACCAGGTGCCAGATGTCCCCAAACCAGCCTCCTCTCCATTATCTTCACCACCCTGAGCCTGAGCCTTCCTACCCAAACTTCTTTCTTCCTACTTGTATTTTGTAGCATGATCTCAAAGCTTTTATGATCATACAGGCCAGAGCATGAACAATGACCCAAACAACTGTGAGTGTGTGTCATGGACACTGTACTAACTGTGTGTTGATTATATAAAACACATAGCACATCTTCAGGGGACCAGGTAATACAGAAGCAGCAGATTTTCCTGTCAAGCAGCATGGGTTAACATCATTCTCCTAAGAAGCAGCATGTTGAGTAGAATATGTATATGAACTGAATGGAAAAAATAGAGAAACAGATACTTTTGTTTGGGGTGTGTGTGTGTGTGTGTGTGTGTGTGTGGTGTATGTGTGTGTTGTAAGTTTGTTCGTTTTTTATTTTTGAGAGCTCTCTATTATGTAGCGCTGGCTGTCCTGGAACTCAATATATAGACCATGCTGGCCTTGAATTCATGGAGATCCACCTGTTTCTACCTCCTGAGTGCTAGGATTAAAGGTATTAAATGCCACTGTACCTGACCCAGAAAACATGTGCTTTTAAGAAATCTGTTTTGACAGAGCTAGGGAGGTAGCCCAATGGCAAAGAGAAAGAATGAGGACCTGAATTAGAATCCCTAGCACCCATGTAAAAAGCCAAGTATGGCTGTCTGAGCCTGGAGGAAGGACTAGAGGTGTGTGTGTGTGTGTGTGTGTGTGTGTGTGTGTGTGTGTGTGTGTGGGAGGGGGGTGCAGGGAGAGACAGCAGGGGGAATCCTGAGGATTTGCTAGACAGACAGCCTGGTCAACATGGTCAACTTCAGGTCCTGCAAAAGACCCTGCCCCCTGTAAAGCTGAGCAGAATAGAAAACCATAGCTGACAATGATGCACACACACACACACACACACACACATACACACACACACATGCACATACATGCAAAAGTACACACATGCTACAGAGAGCAATTGATCGATCGATTGATATTGAGCCTGGCACAGTGGTACATGCCTATTATCCCAGCACTTGAAAGGTAGAGGCAGGAGGATGAAGAGTTCCAGTTCATCCTTGGGTATGCAGCAACTTTGAGGCCAACGTGGGATGCATGAGACACTGCCAGTAAAACAGAAGGGTTGAGCTGGAGAGGTGGCTCAGTGGTCAGAGCACTGGCCGTGCTCCCAGGGGACCCAGGTTTGATTCTCAGAAAACCACATGGCAGCTCACAACTGTCCATAGCTCCAGTCCCAGATGACTCAGTGCCCTCTTCTGGCCTCCATGGGCACTACACACACATGGTGCCTAGACATGCATGCAGACAAAACAGCCACATACATAAAAAAATTAAATGTCTAAAAAAATGAAAAAAATTTAAAGCAAGAAAGATAAAGGTTTGCAAAGAGAGAGGTAAACAAATTGGTCATTACATGTATGAGAGTACTATCTTGATTTATCTAGTAATCATCTGTCTTCTTCATGTGTATGAAATATCTGATAATAAGCATTACAACTTCATATATTCAAAAATAAACACAGCTCCAGACAAGGTGGTACAAGCCTATGGTCACAGAACTTGGGAAGCTATATGTGACCCTCTCATCAGTCTCTCTGCAGCCATCTCAGTTATTAGAATGGTCGCTGCAGTCTCAAAGTGCTTATGGCCACATAACCTTAACTTTCGTTAATAAAATTCCCAAAGTGTAAGAGCATCGACACTGGTAACTTTATTATAGGAAAGTGTAATACTGAGTCTGTTTTTATTATTAATGGTTATTTACTCCTTACCTAGTTTAGAAATTAAGCTTTATCATGTATAGGGGAAACAAGATATCGATAGTGTTCTGTGCTTTCTATGGCCTTAGGCATCCGCTGTGGGTCTTCTCCCTGTGGATGGGGTTGCTACTGTACTTAGCCATCAGATTGCTCCGTTGGCCTGGAGATACTAAAGATCCATCACACCATAGTATCCCACTCAAATGCCCTAGGGTTACAGAAACGGCTGCTAACAGTCATCTTCAGTTGACGACAAGCCTGTGAGGGCAGGGGTGCTGTGGTCTTGTTCTGCCTAGGATGGCATGTGGCACAGAGCGGGTCTTTGAGAAGTGTCTGCAGGGCACATTGGTGGGTGAGGGCTCCGTGGGCAGGTGGAGCAGTACACCAGGGGCAAGTGAGTGGCTGAAGGGGTAAAGGAAGGCAGTGAGAACCTGCAAATGTCCAGTACCTATGTCTCCTTTGTCACCCTTGGCACCATCTCGTCCATCTCTTCCTGGTAGACCATTGTGACCTGGATTCCCAGGGATGCCAGAGTGTCCTTGCCGGCAGGTGTCTTGGGAGTATGTGTTCCTTGCACAGGCGCCCATAGCCAGCAGGAACCACCAGATCCACATGGTCAGATGACAGGGACTGGACTGAAAGAGGGATACAGAAATTGAAAAATGCCTGGCCACTGGGTGTAGGTATAGTTGCTGGGTATGGACAGGGCCTCTCATCTTTGCAATGGAACAGGCCTTGGTCTCTGGGGAGTGACATAGCCTTTTCTTTCTGCATTGACAAAGGATTGAACATGATCCTACATGTCAGATGGTCAGGGCAGGGGAAGTAGAAACCAGGTGGCAGAACAAGCTGTCATGAGGCCTGCCACAGTGGCACATGTCTGTAATTCCAGCACTTGGAAGGCTGAGAAAGAAATTGTTAAGTTCTAGGTCACCCTGAACTATATAATGAGACTCGTGTGTGTGTGTGTGTGTGTGTGTGTGTGTGTGTGAGAGAGAGAGAGAGAGAGAGGGAGAGAGAGAGAGAGAGAGAGAGGTGGAGGAGGGAGAGGGAGATGGGGTGGGGACCTCAGGGGGTGACACACAATTGGAACCACTTTTAATGGTCACTGAATGTGGAAGCCAAGCCTTGATGTTTGGGGACTCCTAATTATTGCTTCAATTTGATCAAGCCATTATTTTGAGCCAGAGAAAAATGTTTTCTTATCTCATGGGGCTGATGTAAAGATCAGATATTTGGCCACAATATACATGGAAAACACATTTAAAAAAGAAAAAGGCCCACATAGAATTGCTAATTCCTAGAAATAGAGCCAAATTAAAACTAAAACAAAACAACAACAACAAAAACTGAGGGACTTGAACAAGCTATGCTCCTGGCAGCAATGTCCACAGAGGCCACAAGGGGGAGCTGCCTTATGGCCATTAGTTGATGAGTCTTTATAGACTATGTAGTATATAAATACAGTGAATTGCCATTTGGCCTCCAGAAAGGCAGGAAACCCCGGTTCATGCTACATCATGGATGAACCTCAAGGACATTAGGCATTGACAAAATCTGGGACTGCAAGACTGGTCTATGTGAGTACTTATTTAAAGTATGCAAAACGGGGGCTGGAGAGATGGCTCCGCAGTTGAAGAGCACTGGCTGTTCTTCCAGAGGACCCGGCTTCAGTTCCCAGCACCCACATGGCAGCTCACAGCTGTCTAACTCCAGTTCCAGAGGATCGGACACCTTCACACAAATGCACATAAAATAAAGTTAAATTAAAAAAAAAAGAAGTATGCAAAGTGGTCCAACTCATGGAGAAGGCAATATAGCAGGTGCCAGGAGCTGAAGGGTTGGGGTGCTGCTCTGTGAGAGGTGAAACTTCTGCAGATATATGATGGTGATGGTTGCAGGTGACACGAATATACTTATTGCTTCTCAGTCACATACTTAAGGTGGCTCAGCTGGTGAGTTTGAAATTATGTATACATACATATATTACATGCATATATGCATATTTGATATATATACATATATATACATACACACATATATATATACATATATATGTATATACATATATATATATACATATATATATATATATATGATCAACAAAACATTAAGGCAGAGGATATGACTCAGTTGTAGAGAGGCTGCCTGGAACACATGACCACACACACGTAACAGAATTATGTGGCACTAACAGCAATGTACCAAGCAAGTGCATTTGGGTTGTGGTTTCAGCTCAGTGCTAGAACATTTGTGTCGCACATATGAGTCCTTGGCTTTTACCCCCACTGCTACAAGAAAGACACAAGCCTGCTGTGGCCCTGCATCCCTGAGCACACACAGGTTGAGGCATAGGCCTGTGCACACACCATCAGATTGGGGGTAACATTCCCATTCCTTTCCTCTGAGGACACTGGCTCTCCTTCTAGGGTTCTTGCCTGTTTGTATTTGTTTCTGTTTTTAATCTGCTTTCAGGCTCAGGTTAGAGCTGAGACCTGGGTGAAAGGGGAAAATAGGCTGGCAACAGCTTCCCAACAGGATCAGCATGCCAGCCCCTGCAGGGGTTTGAGTCCTTGAGATATGGATGGGTGGGATCCCAGATCAAGCTCAGGAACCCTGTGAGTGTGCAAAGTGTCACACCACCTCTCACCAGCTTTATATCCCCAGGCCTCAGGATAGAACAGTGTATTGAGCAGTATGGTTGAAGGCAAAGACTATGTGATGGCAGCTCTTTTAAGATTAAAGGAACAAAAAAAAAAACAACAAAAAAACACATAGGTTAATGCAACCCATCAGACCCCAGTTCCTATGTACCATCTACTGCAACATAGATATTCATAAGCCTTTGGGGTTTTTTTTTAAAGATCTATTTATGTATATTTATGTGTTTTTGTATGTATGTCTGCATACATGAAGAGGGCATCAGATTCCATTTTAGATGGTTGTGAGCTACCATATGGGTGCTGAGAATTGAATTCAGGACCTCTGAAAGAGCAGCCAGCAGTCAGTGCTCTTAACCTCTGAGCCATCTCTCTGGCCTCTATTCATATGCTTTTTGTTTGTTTGTTTGTTTGTTTGTTTGTTTTTGAGACAGGGTTTCTCTGTAGCTTTGGAGTCTATCCTGGCACTCGATCTGTAGATCAGGCTGGCCTCGAACTCACAGAGATCTGCCTGCCTCTGCCTCCCGAGTACTGGGACTAAAGGTGTGCACTGCCACCACCCGGCTCATATATCTTTATAAAGGCAAAAAATTGGGCATCTGTCCCTTTAATCCAGGAGTGTCATCTCTAAAATTATTCATAAAAAAAAATCAAGATCTGTGCGCTAATGGCAACTGCAGCATTATCTGTTAGGGTGGGAAAGGGCACATTATATATTGCCTAACAACAGATGTAGGGAGTGGGACAGTACATAAGCCTTCAGAGAGCTATCATAGCTGGTGACCTATGTAAAAGATGCCTGGAGGCAGAAGGATGATGAGTTCAAGATCAGTCTGCATACAGACGAGATTCTGTCTCAAAAGATCCAGCCAAAGAAAAAGGTCTAAAATGGGGGCTGGAGAGGTAACTCAGCAGCTAAGTTCTCTTGCCGCTCTTGCAGAGGACTGGAGTTCAGCTCCCAGCACCCACAGCGGGTGGTAGTTTACAACTGCTTGTAACCTCAGCTCCAGGGGATCTGGCCTCCCAGGGTACCCACACAACAAGCACATATACACACAAGCATACAAAAAATAAAATAAAATAAAATAAAATAAAGGTTTAGAAAAGTTTAACGTGACTTTTAGAAAGACAAAAATATCAGGCACATTATGAAGATATTGATATATGCATATTATCAAAAGCTAGGAGTACATACATGCAAATGACCAAACATGTTAATGGTTAGAATGATGAGGGGGTAAGAGGCTTTCCTGTGGAAAATGCCTTTGTAGTGTTAGCTACTCATTTGTAGCTGTTTTATTATCATTAATTGTGTGGGTATGTGTGCACATGTGTATGAGTGCACACACATGAATGTAAAGACCCTTGGAGGCCAGAGCATCCAGTCCCTGAGGACCTGGAGTTACCGGTCGCCGGATGTGGGTGCCGGGAACTGAATACTACTCCTAATGCTCTTAACCTCTGAGCCATCTCTCCAGGCCCTTTGTTTCTGTACACTGACATCCAAAAATCCGTCGCCCTCTAGTGGAAGCTGCTGAGTATTATGGGATACAGAAGTGTTTCTACAGGAGGAAACCCAGCAGTTTCCCCTCAGTCACAAACTCACTCCACTTTAGGAAGTTGAGCTTTCTTGGAGCCACATCCATGGGTTATCTACAGCGGCTTCTGCTGCTGAACTCACGGATGACGGGCGGGTTCTAGGTTGACTACTCTGTGCTTTGTCAACATCCCCCTCACTTCCCAACTTCCTCATAAAAAGCCACCTGGTGGGGTGGAGAGATGGCTCAGTAAGAGCTTGATCCTCCAGAGGACCTGGGTTAAATCCCAGCACCTACGTGGCTGCTCAACCACCTGTAACTTGAGTTCCAGAGGATATAATGTCTGCTCCTGGCTTCCAATGGGGTAGAGAGACAGTACTGGCATAACACACACATTATAAACAAACAAACAACCCACTTTTGGTGCCTCTTCTGATTAATTTTCTCTAATTCACAGTCAAGGGTAAGAGTATTCCCAAACATTTCAGATTCCTTATGTCCCCTCAAACATTTCAAATCCTTACGAAGCCCCAAACACTAACAGGAATCAGAACCATCTAACTTTTTCCAGGCAGGGTCTTTCTCTGCAGCTCAGGCCAGCAGGAGGACTCATGATCCTCCTGCCTCAGCTTCCAAGTGCTGGATGGCAGGTGTGCTGCACCAGGTCAGCATGGGAGCAGTCTCTGCTGAGGCCCAGCTTGCCCGAGCACAAACCGTGAGGGGCAGCATCATGACATCCCTCTATACTAGGCTGGCTTTATTACTTCTCCCATATATTCAATACAGTGTGACAGAATGCATCTGCTCCTCAACACATATTGAGGTTTTTATAGACCATAAATTAGCAAAGACATAATTATTAAAACAGACTCATTAAAACATGTAGCTGATAATCTATGAGCTTTTTAGAAAGGTCTGTTATTCGTGTGATTTATTCTGTTTTTTATGCCTCCTTTCAGCTCAGTATTTCAGAATTCTGGCAAGCAAAATTCTTTGCTTTTCTCTCTTATTTAGTGCCCCTCCCCCCAGTGTGTGTGTGTGTGTGTGTGTGTGTGTGTGTGAGAGAGAGAGAGAGAGGGGGGGGGAGAGAGGGAGAGAGAGGGAGAGAGAGGGAGAGAGAGGGAGGGAGGGAGGGAGGGAGGGAGGGAGGGAGGGAGGGAGGGAGAGCGTCTCATATCCGAACCCAGGCTGGCTGGCTGGCCTGGAACCCACTCTCGGTAACCCAGTCTGTATCAGTCCAGTATGACATTTCAAATATGAACCACCACACCTACACCTGTTTGTCCTTCAGAAAAAAAAAAATTTTAGAAGCAGATTATCTCAGTTCTTACCCAGAGCTTTTGCAGTGTATTTACCTGAACCCTGGAGTTGCAGCTGGACACAGACACTGTGAGAATAGGGAGCACACACGGTGTAAATAAAACTATGCCTTCCTGCCATAGAACTCCCCAGTGCACATAACTGCAAAACAGCAGGAAGGGGAGGGGACGGAGGGAGGCACAAGATGTCTTGGATGAGCTTCAAAACTCACAGCAGCTCTGGGGTCGGGTAGCATCTCTTTGGAGCACGCTGGGTGTGGAAAACCCCTTTCTTCTGTCCTCTTGAGAGAAATAAGGGGACTCCCGATGTCCCAGCAGGTGGAGTGCGGGGGAAGGGATCCCCATTGCAGGTTTTGTTCCTTAATGTGAACAGCTTTCTCATTGGCCTGGAGTCCATCGTGGGGTAGCAGTGCAACACTGACGAAGATGACAGTGACTGTCAGTAACTGGGAGCCCTTTGCATCGAAGACCGATAGGATTACTTTGGTTTACTTGGAACTTTCAAATGATTGGTTTCCATTGCCCGTGACTTTCATTAAGGGCAAAACTGAAATCAAGGGCAACCTACAATTCAGTTAACCCTCCCATTGGCATTCCCAGTTCTGCAGGGCACTTTGACGGCCACAAGGAAACGGCCTTTAGGGTGTGCTTTTGGGGTTAGTATGTTCAATAGGTAACTCTGAGCCCTTGTGACTTCTAAAGCTGTAGATAAGGCCAGACACTCCCAGTAACCCGGCTCAGTCCTTAAAATATACCAAATGTAAAATAAAGTTATTTTCCCCCGTTGGGTATTTAACTCAGTGGTAAAGCACTTGCCTAGCAAGCACAAGGCCCTGGGTTCAGCCCTTAGCTGGGAAAACAAACAAAAAAAAGCCATATTGGCACAAACTTTTCATCCCAGCACTCAGGAGGCAGAAGCAAGTGGATCACTGTGAGTCTGAGACCAGCCTGGCCTACAGAAAAAGTTTCAGGACAGCCAGGGTTATGCAAGGAGACTCTCTCAAAAAATCAGGAAAAAAGTTGTTTCCATAAAAGGGCTTTGAAATACATAACAGGTACACGTGGATAGGGACTGAAGGAGTCTAGAGGCTAGCTAGCATGGGCTTTGGTATGTAACCACGGGCATATGCTAAGGGAAGTGCCCTTTCGGGCAGGCAGAAACCCTTTCCTGAGTTCCTGAGGAATGCTGCTCCCTCTATAGACCAGCCTGAGCTAAGCAAACTGTTGTCTTGGGTTATCCACTGCTTTGGAGGGAATTGGGGTTCTCTTTAGAGGACCTGACAATTACTCTTCTCTTTTGGGAAATCCAAGTTTCAGCTTTTGGTGCGCTGGATGCAGCAAGTTACCATGGTCCAACCAGATCCTTCCAACATCTGTGCAGCCAGTTTAACCATGCATGGAGCAAATGAGGGCTTTGTCCATCCGGTCATCCACCTTCAGCCCACCCAGAAGCACGCTGTAGCTCTGCCCCGGATTGCATCTTGCAATCGTTACTCTTCAGGTTCTCCTGAGAAGTGTCCAAACATTAAGTGTCCAAACATTCAGACAAAAGTGCAAGTTTCCAGGGGATAAAAGGATGCTCTTCTGTTCTGAGAAGGGCAGGAGCTCACCTTACTGGCCACCTGGGCATGAGGTACGTAGGTACTGGGAAGCCTCACCTTACCATTAGCACCGCAGGAAGCCCCAACAATATGTCCAGGAGGAGGTGGGACTGGATTTAGCAGCATCCACTAAGCTAGGTAGCATTCACTGACTGCTACAGCCAGACTGCCACAAACCTCTTCTCTCCTGGCCAATCAGAATCCTCTCCAGCTGTGTTCCTAGCCCCACCAGGAATCAGGGGTTTGACTGGGTGCCTGGGCCACTGTTTATTTATACTACTCTTTATCTGTCTGTGGTACTCCTACTCATTCTTTGCATAAGAAGAAGGCTTAGGTCACCAGTGTCCCTCCCCTTCCCCAAGACTTGCTGGGACCACAGAAAGCCTGCTAGGCTGTCACCCTGGGCATCCCTCTGCCTCTGATTTTAGAGTTCTCTTTTCAGTGCAACCTATGTAGCCAATACTGACTACAGCTGGCCTTGAGCTATTTGGCCACATTAGGGAATGCCACATGCCACCATTGCCACAGGGTCTGGGTCATCTGTTAAAAACCAGCTCCAGAGACCACATGGCCCCAGGTCTGACTCAGCAGAGGCACTGTGTTTAATCCACAGAGGCCTTGGGCCTCTGTGAAGTCCTTTGGACTTGAGTCCTGGCCTAGATGTTTGACAGGGACAGGACTCCATTCTAGAAGCTGTCATGTGCCTACCTCACATGCCTGGTGCTATTGGTGCAAGGTGAACGTCATATTTCTACACAGTTCTCCAGCCACATAACCCTCTGGAGGCACATGGTCTCTCTCAAACAGCAGACAATGAACACACGTTAGCTTCCCCTCCCAACTCTTCTAGAATAAAGTACTGCTGTCTTCCAATTACATTCCCGTCTATGTGTGGTGCTATCCTGGGCCAATCCCCCACCCATGTTGTCGCTGTCACCCTTTTGCCCAGTGAAGCTCATGGAGAGGTGAGCAAGGGTACAGTGGACAGATGATGCTGAAGTAAACAACAGAAAGCAAGAGGCAGCCTTGGCAACCCAAAGGAACCTTTTCTGATTAGTCACAGCAAACAATGGGCTGTTTACTGGGATTTTCTGAGCTTGTTAATGAGAGGAGGAAATTCTTACTCACCCCACACCCTGGGTGAGGGCTGCAGGCTCACCTCCCAGTAGAGGGTCTTGCCAGCAGCCCTGGCCACCCACACTCCATCATTCATGGGAAACTGCTGCAATAGATTTGGCCTTCTGGGGACAGGCTGTCACTCAGTGGTAGGGGGCCTTGACCTTGAAGGTGGGGAGGGGGAGGGGGTTGTGAGGCAATTCCCTGTTCTAGCCAAACCCACAAAAGGGTAACAAAAACACCCAAACTGTCACTTCCCTCTGGCTCCTGTATTTCTCTAATGGCTTTGGAAGTCCAGTGTCCCGCTCTCCATCCCCTCAAGAGCCTTTGCTCAACACCCACCCAGTGATTCCCTCCCACCCAGCAGGATTGAGTATTGAGGAAGAAGTACCAGGGTCAGGACAATCAAGGATCTGAAAGCTCCAGCACTTGCAGCCTATGAAGAATTTCTTTCTTTCTTTTTGGCTTAGGTTGACCTTGAACCCCTTATTGTAGCCTCCACCTCCCATCTGCTAGGATTACCAATATGTGCTTCCACACCCAATTTTATACAGTGCTGAGAATCAAACACAGGGCTCTGTGCATGTCCCACCCCAGCTCTTTTTGTATAATGTGTCTGTCTTACTTTACTATGAAGAGGCATCACTAGAAACAGTGTGGCAAATTATTTTAATATACAGATACAAAATGACAAATAGAGATTCACAGCATTTACAAGAAATCAAATAACTATTAAAAAAACAACAACAATAACAAAAAACCCTTCATTTAGCAAAAATGCACGTCTTGTACACGTCCTATTTCAGGGTCAAGGCCGACTCACCATCTCAGGGACAGCACTTGACTTACACAGACGCCAGCACCCCGATATGGGTTAGTTATCACCAACAGAATAGCCAAGAAGCTCAGTCAGCAAGTCATGCTCAGTGGGCACCAATATGTACACAAAGAAATGGACCAACTATTAAATTACAGAAGCTGCTCAAAGTATTTTCTAAATATAAATGGCAATGCCTAGGAGAACATAAAGGCAATAATGAAGTGGGATGGCTAAGCAAATTTACATACATTATATACGTTGATTTCCCCCCTCTAAGACTAGCTAGAAGTTTCTACCTATTTTGTCCTATGTCTTTCGAACTCCCCTTTCCATGGCTCCTGAGAAGAAGTCATTTGTGGGCACTCTGTACCCAGCATCCTGGCTTTGAGCGGCTTTGAAGACATTGACTCACTTCTTGGCACTGGCTTGAAGGACACTTCTGCTTTTCCTATCCGTGATGAAGCCACAATGTGGAAGCTGTGGCTGGAAACAGGACTGATGTGTCCTAGGAAACATTCAGGTACAGATCTCCACATGTACATGATGCTGGATTGCTGGAGCTTACAAAAAGATTTCCATTGTGAACCGAATTTCCAGTTAAATACATTTTTGCTTTGTGTGTAAGAACAGCAACGTAGGATGTGGAATCATTCTTGAATGGCTTGGATATTAAAAGGCACAGTATTTAGAGATGGCATTCCATACTGGTGACAGTTCTCACCTGCAGAAGCAGAACTACCATTCGGAGAGGGGAATCGGAACAGATGACGCATCTAAGAGGTGGCATCTCTTAAGAGCCTCGACTCACTGTCTGCCACTCTCCTTTACTTCTTGGACAGAGCCTGGAATGCTCCTTCTTTCTCTAGACTTTCAAGTATTATTTACGACCACACTCTTCACCTACCATGTGGTGGCTATACATATAGGTATAATCTAAACCAGGTAGGCCTTCTCAACTCTATCAACAGAGCTGACAAATTCTGGACCACTAAAGACAGAACAAATGAAATCATTAAAATTGAAATCACTAGTCTTTTTTGGCCCATTCAGGGAGAGGGAGGGAATGTTGTTTGTGAGCATCAGACTCCATTTGGGCAACAGCTTTTCTTTTTTTTTTCCTTCAAAATAGAGCACATGCCTTAAACCAAGAAGGAGGTTTGGAAAACTGAATGTAATATTAACTCAAGATCTTCGACTTTTTGTAGAACTCAGTATTTGGTAATAAAATTTATACAGACATACAGATTTTTTTTTTTTTTTTTTTACAAAGTCAAAGGCTAGTATAGCTTTTAAAAACACATTAGTTTTCAAACTCACCCAGAAATCCCAAATAAGATTCATCTGGACAGACATTTGGTCAAACACGTCTTATACTGTATAAAATTGCCTGGGGCCAGCCCAGGTCTTGAACGTGACTCAATGCAAACACATCCTGATGTTAGGGATTGTTAGCAGGTCTCAGGAGGTAGGTGGGAGCCGGAAGTTAGGGCAGCTGGGAACTACATTAGGACTGGTCACAGACTCAATGTATTACTTCTTCACTGTCGTTAGTTGTAACAGCAAATGAATTCTGCAGTGAGACTCAAGTTGAACCCTCAGTGAAAATGAACAGGACCGAAAGACTCTCTTCACTTCCTTAAAAGCAATTTTCATATTAACAACACAGCACTGCTGCACATACACAGTGTAGCAGAGAAAGCACACTTAGTATAATTTCCAAATATATCATTGCATTCTATTAGTAAAAAACAAAAACAACCTGTCAGTTATATAAATGCAGCTACGCTAAGGCATGTATCTAAGTGTTCCCTCTCTCTCACTCTCTCTTACACACACACACACACACACACACACACACTGAACACCATGCACTGAACAGTTCTGTGCACTGAATCACTTCATGACACATAGAAATAGCTGTGAGGCCACTGACCACAATCCCCAGCAGTGCTGTGGCTAATCCCACGCCCAGGGTCAAGGTTATTTGCTGTGAAGTCACTTGCTTCAGCATAGCTCTACATATGGGGACAGAGTAGAGGAACTGTGCTGATGGACCAAACCTTCATCTCTAACACTGCAGACGTGTTTGTTCTTAAGCAAGGGCTGATGAGAGAGGAGAACCTTGCAGGAACAGCACCCAAGAACACACATGTCCAAAAGAAACCATGAGCTGCATAGCAGGACCCCTGCCTGGCCAGCTCACTGTGTAGATTCAAATGTAGAACCAGTCTTCCTTAGATCTAGTTAAAGGCATTTTCAATAAACTCCACAACATCAACAAAGGGGGCTTACTCTCTGCAGGTGTCAGCCCCTGTGGCCTTTATTAACAGACAGCTTTCTCAGAGCTAAGGAGTCATCAAAACCAATCTCCAGCGGGCACAGTCATGCTCGGCTCTTTCAGGGTCATGTGACAGAGGTGTCTCCACCGTCTTACTGATGAAGACCTGACAAATGGCTGCTGAAGATGCACAGGTCCATATTATCATGTTACCAAACCTGCAAGAATTCTCGCATCGCCACTGTTTCTGTGAATGGACGCTTGCTTCTTAGGTTGTGACCTCTGCTTGAATCGGTCAGAGAGACAAACGAGTTGGCAGTGCCCTCCCCACTGGCCAGGAAAGCAGCACTGCTTTGAGGATGCTATATGTCCCACGTTGCCAAGGTGATAGGTGCCTCCCGTCTCTCCCTAGTTTGTGAGTAAGGAACCTTCCAAGATGAAACTTACACTCTTGCTTGGCACCTGCTACACCTTGGGGAACTGTGGGTGCCTGCCCAGCAGCTCTAGGTCCTTCATTGTCTCTCCCAGGCCTGACCTGACCCAGGCCATCCTATGGCTGCCAACATCCTATCAATCTCCGTCAATGAGTTCCTTAAGATCAAACACAGAAGCCACCCTTACTGCAGTTGCTCCCAGGGGACTGAAAGGCTCTTGGTACTGTCCGGAACTGCAGTGGGAGTGGGGCCATCAGTGGCAAAATCTCAGGGTCACCAAGTCAGCAGTCCCCATGCAGAGAGAGACCCTGGTCTTTGCATCCTGGCCAGCCGAGGGTGCACCTTGGCTTCCGGTGTGGGACAGTGCAGTGTTTCATGGCCCCCTCCTCCTTGCCACAAGGGCACTGGCATCTCTCAAGATCAGAGGTGAGTCCTATTCCTTCTTTTTTATTGATTCCCAAAAGAAGTGTTCAGTCCCGAGCAAGAGGCCATGCCTGGACACCACACTGAAGAGACAAAACTGGCCTTCCTCCCACAGTAGCTCAGGGGCACACTGAGTGAGGCTCACTTCCTGAAGGGGGTGAGTTTGTGAAAGGTGTGCCAGAAGAGTGACGGCTTCCTCTTGGGCTCAGCCAAGGCAAAGACTTGCTGCTGTGGGATGCTGGTAGGCACCGTGATGTGGCGCTGGTGAACAGGCGGCAGGCTCTGGTGGGGTGGGGCCACGGGGCAGCTGCTGTAGCCTAATTCAGGAAGGACAAACAAACACACTAATCATTAAAAGCCACACTGGGACTCAAAATACTTAGCTGATTCACAGAAATCAGAAGGACATCTAGTAACTGTCCTAAGAAACAAGGCTTTTAGATACTCCATATGGGGCCAGCAAGGGTTACGTCATGAAGCCTACCCGAAACTTCACAGGGAGGAAGCCCAGGGGATGAAGGAGATCACCTTCCACCACAAGGGAGGTCAGTGAAGACTCAGAACCGGACTCCTGGTGTGGAAGCAGTGACATGCTCAGACCAAGCCCTGGAGCCAGCATTCCCTTGACTCAAATGCTACTCCACACTTACTGACCATGAGTATTTGGAGCGAGATTCTTTGATTTCTCTATGCCTACTCTCGAAAATGGGAGTAGCAGTACCAGGATCTCATGAGAATAAATGAAGTAAGATTCATTGGCACTATCTACTTTGGGGAGGCATTGAGTGTGAGCACTAGGACCCTGATGTCCCCTGGCCATGAATGTTTCCGGGTCACCACCAAGTTACTTCTGGTGAGGAAGCACTCTACAAGAGGCCCAGCGTCTTCTCGTCCACAGACACACTGGATGTCAAGATCCCCCCCCCTCCCCCTCACTGGGATGTGGCACACCGTGTTGTGGAATGTGGCTTTGACTAGGAAAGATGTGTTCCATTGTTTATGCTGTGGGCTATTCCTGTAACTGTGTAATGGTGTGTTCCATTTGTTTATGCTGCATTTGTTTAATTATGTAAAGATGTGCTGTATTTGTTTCACCTTGCCTGTCTAAGGCACCTGTTTGGTCTAGTACAGAGATGAATGGCCAATAGCTAGGCAGAGAGACAGAAAGAGAGAGACAGAGACAGAGAGAGGCAGAGAGACAGAGAGAGACAGAGACAGAGAGACACAGAGAAAGGGGAGAGAGAGAGAGAGAGAGGAATAAATAGGAGATTTAGGCTTGAAGAGGAAGTAGAAGAGAGGACAAGGGAAATGCTCAGGCCCAGCCAATAGCTAGCAGAGAGAGAAGAAATAAACAGGAGGAGAAATCTAGGCTCAAAGCGAGAAGTAGAAGAAAAGGGAGGATGAAGTAGAAAGAGAGGGAGGCGCCCACACCCAGTCAGGCAGCTGCCGGCCGGCCGGCTGGCCAGGAGAAGCAGTTTAAGTGTGATATATAGAAGGAAGGAAAGGAAAAAGCCCCAAGGCTAAAGGTAGACAGAGAGAAGCAGGTTAACTTAGGTGCTAGCCAGAAAGGTGCCTAAGCTAGGCCAAGCATTCATAACTAACAATAAGTCTGTGTCAGGATTTGAGAAGTGCTTGCTTCTCAACAAGAAAAAGCTTGGTATGCAGTCACGTATATATGGCCAGCACTTCCTTGTTGGAGATTCCTCCTCAAAGACACAGGGGCTCACTTGAATGGCGGTCCAGTGGTACCAGACTCATCCCTCCAGGGATGTGAGGAGCAGAGGGCACTGGCTGGGCTAGGAGGCTCGAAGGCCTCTGTTGCTGTCTGAGGTATTACATGCACCTGCATCCAGACCTAAAAGAGACTCTCCGCCCCTGTCAATGTGGGCCTGTTCCTCGAGTGTTCCTGGCTTTTCCTCTCCACCCAGGGCTGGGAAAAGTTCTTTGTGGTCACCGTCTCCATGTCATCACAAGGTCCATGGGAAGGAGACGAGGCCTTCGAGGAATCTTACCTTTAGATTTCCCATGTCCAGCCTTCTGAGCATTCAACATGGCGAGTTTCTTTTGATTTTCTGGGATTTCCATTCCTGGATTTGGAAACAGAGGTGGTGAGACCCCAGAGAACATTCTCAAGACAAACTGTGCACCACATACACTTGCATTCTCTACTAGAGCAAAGGGCCCTGAGAAGCGAGGGAAAGGGGAATGCTGGGAGTATCACCAGGGACCCCACAATGACCTCTGACCCCAGGTGTGTGACATGAGTTGTTATTGTCACGGGACACAGACCCTTGGTGTCTCAAGACAGACACTCAGGGCAGTGTCCACATGAGAATCACTAATTGCAGGTCTAAAACATGACACTCTGGAAAGAGAACCCAAGGCACAGAGGCCAGGGCTGCTGCTCACATGTGCCAGAGCTCTGTGGGGCGAGATTCTGCTTGCCTGCAGCCTGGCTCTGCAGTGGGGACAGACATGCTGCCTACACATGGCGGGGTAACTAGGTAAATAAGAGCTGGACCGGGAAAGAGGACAGAGAGACAAACGGGAACAGAAGCAGGGGTTGGGGGGTGACTGCTCCTTCCGGGGTGGGAGGTCAGGAGCCATGCTCCACGGTGGCTGCAGCTTGAGGTGACTCTTGTCTCTGTCTTGGATACACTCTCTACCTCGGTTGGCTCTGCTTCCCTGGCTTTATGCAGTCACATACACAATGTCTGTCTGACTGTCAGAGTCTCCTTCCCACCCACACCCACACAGAGACTGTCTTGCTCCAGGCAGAGCCTGAGGACCTGTCCTCACTGGTCCCCAGCTATGGGAGCCCACAAAGCAAAGGACACTCAGAAGCTGAAGAACAGAGTTGAAAGTGTTTAGGATGCTGGCGATCAACATGAACCCCCAGGGGAATGAGTGCAAGCAATCCGACTCAGTACTTCTAGACACACCAGACAGTGTGAACGACTGAGCAAGCTGGAAGCTGCTGATGCCACCTTCTCACATTTTAGTAACAAACTACCTGCACACTTCTGAGAAGGATTTCATGACAAGCTTTATTGCATCAGAGTCTGCTGGTCAGCAGCCAACACATGGCAGCTACTGGGGTTCCGATTTTCTTGGGTCTAAAGGACAGCCATACAGAGTAGAAGTTTCTACCTGGAGGCTGGGAGCTGCATGCCCTCAAATTTCTCTGAGCTCTGGAGGCCTCTGAAGAAATTCTTACTTTTAATGGCAAGATAGCCTGATGGATTTCTAAGTGCTCTCAACACAGAATCCCAGGACACTTCTTCTATTTCCAATAGAAATATGGCCAAGTCTGGAGCTGGTGGTTTGATACAGAAAACATAAAGACCACCCTTAAAGCCCCTTGGGCTCTGTAGCAGCAGGGCAATACATGCCCAGATACATGATCCTTGAGATCTGGGCAACACAGCCGTTTCTCACCCATCTTATCCCTGTGCAGCCCTGGTCTCTGGGCACCATAGCTCACATTTGACCGTGTGGGTGGGTGGCTCTGGAGTGTGGGCCGGGATAGACACTGAGAGCTGTGCTGATTGATGCCACACGGCAACTGCCTTCTCACAAGATCATGCAATGAAAAGATAAGAAGTTGGGATGACACACCAAAGTACAGGTAAAGTTCCCCTTATCTGAAACGCGTGGAACCAGAACATGCCACACTTTAGATTTTCTAGTATTTCACATACAACGTGGTGATGAGACCAAAGTCTAAACACAGGACTCAGTCATGTTTCAAAGACACCTTACACACAGCCTGAAAGTAACTCCGAACTGTACTTCTGGGACACCTGTATTTTAACTGGGTCCCTCACATGATGTTAAGGTATAGTTCTTCCACATCGATTTGGGGATCACAGTACAAGTCCACTACTGAATACCAGAAGCATGAGCTTACTCTGACATGTGGTACAGGTTCTACAGATGCCACAGATGGGAGGAAGCATGGGAGAAACCGGGTGTGAACTGACCCAGGCAGTGAGGCGAACTTAGAGTGTTTTACAACAGTGCTGGTAAAGGGGAAGCCTTGGCAATAAGCTGGCATTTCTGGGCTAGAAAGACGACCACTCAGGACTACGTAAAGAGTGCATGCTGTACAAGTATGAAGCCCTGAGTTCAAGTATCCAGTGCTCATGTAAAAAGCTGGTGCACTCATGTGTGCACCTACAATCGTAATGCTGTGGGGGATTGAGACGGGATTGCTGGGCCCTGCTGGCTGCCAGCCTAGCTCCAGGTTTAGTAAGACCCACTGCAAGTGAATAAGGCAGACAGACAATGATATAGCAGGACACTAGATGTCCTCTTCTGACCACATGCCTCACCCCTCCAGAAACAAATACACCACACACACACACTCACATGCAACATGAATAAATACGTGAAGAAAATAACGAGAATTATCTGATGTGTCTACTGGTTGGGTGAAGGGTATGTATGTACCACCACCAAATGGTCAGTCCCTGGGACCACACCAAGCTGGGCCATCCTATAAATAAGCATACCTTAGGGGGTATGGGACCATCTATAAAGTGTAAATAAAGGTAATAAGCACACTCTAGGAGGTTAGGGGCCATCTGTAAAGTGTGAGTAAAGGTAATAAGCACATTCTAGGTTAGGAGGCATCTCTACTATTGCTCCCCATAGCACATGGCTACAGCCCTGTTCATGGATTTGGCTCTTGAGGGAGCAACTGAGCAGAGGAGGTGGAGTAGGCTGCAGGGACTCACCCATCTGCTGGTCCTCCTGTACCCGCTGCCTCTCGTCTGCGTAGGCCTGCAGCCACCTCGCCTTGTCTTCTTGCTTTCTGGCGCAGAACAGGTGCACCTCATCTGTGGCTCTGCTGACCAGTTTGAAGGCATTCCGCATGCTGAGGTTCCAGTCTTTGTCCCGCCCATCCTCCACATCCACAAGCTCCACCTCGTCCATGTCCATGCGGCCCTTGTAGTAGAGCATGTCCCTGCGCAGCAGGTCCTTCTTGCAGGACACCAGCTGGTGGTCGAACAGGAAGAAGATCCGCTGCTGGCTCTTACCCTGCCTGGTGATTTTGGTCAGTTCCCCCGAATGAATCAACTCGGAGCTTCGCTCTAGAATGTCCAGGCCCTAGGAGACACAATTACACTGTGAGTTTTCTAAGCCAAATTGTTTCTAGTAGTAGAGACACAGAAGGGGCCTCTGATACAGTCTTCCTATAATAATCCAGTTCCCTAAGTCCAGGCATTGCTGCCCTACACACAGGCAGGTAGGGCCTCAAAGGCCATACAGACCCTGACTTCCTGGATCCCTTGTCCTGAAATACCTCTTTGCTGCTCTTTATTTCCTATCTCTGTTACTTGAAGTGTCTTTCTGATCTAAAAAAAAAAAAAAAAAAAAAAAAAAACACACACACACACAAAAACAAAAACCAAAAACCATGCTACAGTAACTGAATCCAGACATCTGCATCGGGAACCAATAAACCCTGACTTTGTCAGAATAAGAGAGAAGCAGAGGTTTCATTGTATAGGGATGTGGTATGACTGACTCTTACGGCTCCTGAATCAGGTGTATACCCACTCCCTGGAGTAGCTAGCTTAGGGTCCTGGAAAAAAAAGACCAGACTGCCAGTAGGAAATTCATAAATTCTGCTGAAATGATCTAATGTTTGATTATTTCTAATGTTAGAACACAACATTCTGAATGTTAGAATCTAAGGTTGGAAAGGAAAACTCCCTTTTATAATATCTTGAGTGGATGGATGCCAATGTCACCCTAAAAAATTCGATATGAACCCTGACTTCATTAAAAATCTTCATTTCCCCCTAATCCCAATAATGCACAGCATGTTTTGGAAGCAAAAGTGCTTACTCCAAAGTATTTCTTCTATTTCCTATCCTAGAGCAATTCTGTGCCCCAGGCTCTTCATTTAAAAAACAAGGGACCATACAGCGATGACAGAGGTATGCTCAGGGCTCCTGGGAAAGAGCTGCCTTCAGCTGTCCTCGCTCTCATAACTTCGGCTGATTCCTGCCCTCTCACACCACCCCTTCTCTGTCCGTGAAAGCCAGTTCTGACCAGCTGGTAGATGTAGGTGAACCTTACCTGGTTCATCAGCAATCTAGGTTGCTCTAGCTTGTGCTTAGCTGCTATGGTTCTCAGTGCAGGTGACCAGCTTAGGCACACACAACCACTCTCTAGCTCTGCCACTCTCTAGCTATGTGGCCTTGGACAAGGTACTTACAATCTTCAGGGCCTTTCCTTTACTCCACGGGTTAAATAGGTGCCCACTTCTAAGGGTCATTGAGAGGATTCACTGAGTTCATAAATGTAATTAGTAGTGAACACAGTAGGGGAAATGCATACTGTGAGTGTGTGTGTGTGTGTGCGCGTATGCATGTGTTCCTGCACACACGTGTAAATATGGGTTAATATACCAATTGGGCCATTTCTATGGGACTTAGCAGGTATGGTTGTTTGTACTATTACATAAATATTACATAATATACATAATGATCATGTAGCCTAAAAAGTAATATTTTCTTCCTTAATTTTTCCTTTTTTTTTTTTTTTTTTTTTTTTTTCTCCTTTCTTTCTTTTTTTGGTTTTTCAAGATAGGGTTTCTCTGTATTGCTTTGGAGCCTGTCCTGGAACTAGCTCTGTAGACCAGGCTGGCCTTGAACTCACAGAGATCTGCCTGCCTCTGCCTCCAGAGTACAGGGATTAAAGGCGTGCACCACCAATGCCCAGTGGTTCCCATGCTCCTATGACTGTGTTCTATGGCTGGGTGGGAACTGTGCCCTTGCTTTGGTGGAGCTGGTTCTCCTTATCAGGGGATTAGATGCTAAAAAATATATTAATGACTTTTAAAAATCATTTTTAAGCTGGATGGTACTGGTGCACACCTTCAATCCCAGCACTAGGAAGGCAGAGGCAGGTGGACATCTATGAGTTGGAGGATAGCTAGAGTTACACAGAGAAGCCCTGTCTCAAAACAAACAAAAAACCTCAAAAAAACAATTAATTTTTTTTATCTTATTTTATCTATCACGTGTACACAGGATATGTGTATGGGCATGGGTGTATCACAGTGCCTATTTTATCTATCTATCTATCTATCTATCTATCTATCTATCTATCTATCTATCTATCTACCATGGTACACAGGACATATGTATGTATGTATGAGCATGGGTGTGTCACAGTGCCTATTCTATCTATCTGTCTATCATGTGTGCACAGGACATATGTATGTATGGGTGTGAGTGTGTCATAGTGCCTATGTGGAGGTTGAAGGACAACTTTCAGGGTTCAGCTTTCTCCTTTTTACCATGTGTGCCATCTCACCTACTCAGACTTTATTTCTTTGTAAGCACTGTGTAAAAATAAGGGAACTGACATTTAGACTCAGACTTCCTTCAAAAGTATGTTATCACGAGGTCCATGGTGCAGGAGCTGTGGGCCACACTGTGCGTGTGTGAGTGCCACTCACCTCCCAGCCTACGATGGACACCTGCCAGCGGGCAATCTTGTCGATACTCTCCAGCTTGCGTTTGCGTTCATTGATCAAGCAGGCCACATTCTTCATGGCCTCATAAGCTGCCTTTATATTGTTGTAATCGCTGCAAAATGGGAAGAGTTCATTTTAATTGCAAGACATGCAACTCACAAAGGACGGACAGAATAATGTGCTCTCTTCCAGATCCATATGCTAATAGTGTAGACAAGGCATTGAGTAAGAGCCATTGTTCCCAATGAATAGACCACAGTCTGCACAGGTTAAGTGAGCTGAGGGGACACAATTCACAATTCTTTTGGAATAAGAACGTTGTCATTCATTTCCCAGAAATTGCCATGAATGAAAGTAAATGCCACAGAAACCAAGTGTTAGTCATAGCAACTAATTTTCATTAGTACAGAAACTGTCTTTATTTCTGCTTTGATTACAACATAACTAGTTCTGCTATATAAAGCTGCTTAAAAACCACTAGCAGTTTTGAAAGTAATTATCTGCATCAAGTCTCATCTTTTACTTGTTCAGGAAGGGACACAAGAGGCCATGAGCAACAAAGTATGATGGTCTTCCAGCAGCCCCCCAGCCCACACCTCTGAGACTGTTACATTTTGAAAACCCTAAAATCATCGTGTCTATTGTAAGAATGGGTTATATTCAGGTTTTACTCAGCAGAAGTGATTTGGGTCTGGTTTCCAGGCTGGGCCACTTGAGCTCATGTGGTGACACAGCCGGGACCTTGGCAGGCCGAGTTAGAATTCTCCTGAACAGCTTGAGAACAGAAGCTGTGAACCAGACATGGAAGAACTTGACTCCTGAGAAGTCCGCAGGATCATCCAAAAGCAGGCCCTGACTCCAGAGGCCTGTTCTCGAGGCACGGCAGGATGGGAAACAGACATGACATGGAACTGCCAAGATGTGGAAGCCCCCCCCCCCCCCCGCAAGAAAAGGAACAATGTTTTTGCTAAAAGCTCCCAAAAGCAGCAAATCTAGGGGGTTTTGTCACTTCTTTTTTCTAAAATCCCCACCCAATCCCTGTTTTACTTTAACAGAAAAAGAGAGTCCCGATGTCATTCTGTTTTGAACATTTTTCAAAGCTGATTCTGGTGGTGCATGCTTGTCATCCCAGCACACGAGATGCTAGGACAGGAGGATCAAGAGTTTGAGGCTAGCCTGGGTTACACAATGAGTCCTGACACACAGACACACATTGGAACAAGTGTGATAGTGCATGCCTATAATCCTAGCACTTATACCTTGCCTCAAAAATAATAAAATAAATAATAGGTGAGAAACAATCGAAGTCTGCAAATGCTCATTGGAAATGCTCAGTCTCCAAAGAGAAAAGTCAGGTAGCCGAGAGATGGTTCAGTGAATGGAGGTATGTGCTATGCAAGCCTGTGACCTGAGTTCAGTGCCTGGAACCCAGGTAAAGTGGCAAAAGGGAGGACTGACTCCACAAATTTCCCTCTGCCCTCCACATGTGTGATGTGGCATGCAGGTAGCATCCCCAAGATAAAGTGTTAAGAACATTTTAAACGGTGAAGCTCCCTCTTAGGGAGTGTGTATGTGGTGTGGTCACAGCTGCCCACCTTGGAAAGCAGAACACAGCCATTCCATGTTTCCAGAAGGCTTTGCTTTGCTTCTCAGTTCCCTTATTTATTTCTTCCCAAATCATTACTATGATGTCTTTCATTTATGATTTGTTAACTTCTACAAATTGAGGTTCTCCTGACTTGCTTATTTTTCTCCACTAAGCTCTTTTGATTTCCATATACACATGTAGAGATACAGTTCTGACCATAGTTTCAGGTACCCCCTGGTGTCTAGAAACATATCCCCCAAGAATAAAGGGGACTACTGTAGTCATGTCTGTCTATTTCTTTTAAAAATTAAAAACTGATTTACCACTAAACAACTACAAAGGGATATTAACATAATATTTGTAGATTATGCCAAATAATAACTAAGTGAAACTCCTTGTGCAGCCTGGTGTGATGTGCTTGGCTATAACCCTGGCACCCAGTAAACAGGATCAAAAAATCCAAATGCAAAACTAAATCAAACTGTAACAACAACAAAACCAACCCTCACCAAATCTCCAGGCACTCACAAAACCAGCCTAAGAATTCTTCTGGTTTTGTTTTTCTCAGTATCACAGTGTCTTCACAGACCTTGTAAACTTCTGTGAACTTCTTCCATGAAGCTAAGTGGCAGAGTGGCGATGCTACCACACCAGCACCAGCACCACCAGCACCAATACCAGCGCCACCACCACCAGTGCCACCATCACTTGTGCCAGCATCAGGCTGGCCGGGGTCCATTCTCCTGGCACCTGGGCGGCCTTTGGCTTACCTGTGCTCCTGTGTGGTGTACTTGAGCAGCTCAGCCAGCTGCAGCGGGTATTTGCAGATCTTCTGCACAGGCGTGAGGAGGAAGCCGTCCAAGGCGATGTCAATCATTTGCTGGAGCAGGCGACAGGCCTCGAAGAAGTGCCGGTACTTGCTCTGCTTCATGAGGTTGGACAGCTCCACACAGGCACCCGGGTGGTTGTTGCAGTACTCCGAGTAGATGGCAAAGCCCTCTTGCTGGAAGGGAAGGCAGCCTCATCAGTCAGTGGCTCATGACACTCCTAGAGAAGAGGGAGGATAGGCCAAGACCCCAAGGGCAATCCATGCTTGGCAGTGGCTTTCCACAGGAAGATCATTTGTGGGTGGTAGATAACTGGGTTCTCTTTAAGGGTGCTGGAGGGATTGGAGACCCCTGCCACCTGTGCTCACCAGCTCCTAGCCTGAGCTGATACAGAAGAGGGGAGAAGCAATGCTCTGAGACCTGGCTCTCCATCCTGGTCGGCTTCCTTCCACTGATAAACTGCCTTGGAGGTACCATGTGCTGCTGGCTAACCCTTGGGCCTGGCTTCCACATGGCACCCTTCTCCAACCGAAAGGCTCTGCCCACTTCCCTTTTTGCAGACTTCTTTTTCTAAGGTGCAGCCACACTGCTGCCCTCCTCACGCTGCCCACTTTCCCGGGCTTGGAGCTACACTCTTTCCTCTGCCCACTGTTCCTCAAGACTGGGTGGACACCGCTTCAGGAGCCCCGTCACTGGGTTCAATCCCACATCCCTGGTCGCCGCCTTTCCTTGAGCTTCAGCTGCTGGGCCATGCACTCCCAGCTGCCCTTCCTTCCTGCTTCCGCCAGCACGCCAGGCAGGCCTGGCTGAGCTTGAATGCCGCAGGTCTCCCACCAAGCCCCCATGCTAACCCCACCCCATCTGCTAACTCTATGACACAGGTGCTGGAAGCCGCTGCTTTTTCTTTGTTGGCACAACCAGCCTTGCCAGGCTTCCCTTGAAAATACCCTCTTTAGTGAGTCTCCTTTTCCTTGGCTTCTGGGCTGCCACCTGCAGGGCTGACCATGGCAGTGACTGCTATAGGACTCTCCTGCAACTGAGGAGACTCACCAGCCTGCTCTTTTCCTACCTCTGCTCACCTCCAAAGCCTCTCCTGAGCTCCTCACCTAAGGCCTAAGCTGCTCTGGCCACACAGGTCTTCAGTGTCTCAAAGATGCCTGGTCCCCAGGGACCCATTCCTGCTTGCTTCCCTTTGGAACCAGCACACTCAGCAATTGAAGGCCTATCCTCCCCTCCAGCTCTAGCCCCCTGCATCTAGAAAACCACTGGGTCCAGCACCCAGGCAGGGAGAGGCTATGGCTGCCACTGTTAGCATTACTTGAACGATTCTCTAAGTACAGAAATAAAATCCCCCCAAATCTTTTATTGTCAGCTATAGTCAGTCTGAACAGTAAGCATCAGTAATTCCTGTCACCACCAGAGGTTATGTACCATCTGCCTATGAGCATGTGACCCTGCGTCACTCGCTCTCTGGGGAAGGAAAATCCTATCTACCTAGAGACGGTACGCGGCGAGCCAAGGGGAGAACCCTCTGGACTGTTCTCAATCGAGGCGCCTCTCTATGCTATTGTCTGACCGGATGTGAGTAAGGAGGAACAGTGCCATACGTGTTGAAGGAAGCAGGATCCTATTTCACTTGAGTGAGGTTCCTCTTTGTTGTACTGTTTCTCAAGGTCTTTCAGAAACTTTCTTTGGAATTTGTAAATGTCTTCAATGTTTCCAAAAATAGTGGCTAGCTGCGCAACCGTGAACATGCCCGTGTGCTTACGACACTGTCGGATATAACCCTGCAAAGTACAAAAGCAAACAGTTTAGAGATATCTCAGCAATATAGCTTGTTGTTGCTGTTTCCGTTTGTGTTTTGGCCCAATGCCATGGTCTTGGGCTGAATTTTATTTTATTATTTTATTTTCAGGATAAGTTCTCACTATGTAGCTCAGGCTGGTCTTAAACCCACAATCCTCCTGTATGCTGGGATGACACATGTGTGGCACTATTTCCAAGTTGGAGTGGATTTTAATTAGAGAAAATTATTTTCCTTTATCTGTGGGGCCCTTATGGGACAATCATATGTCTATACCTAAAATTCACCATAAATATTTCAAAAACATCCTGGGCGGTTGGTGGTGCACACCTTTAATCCCAGTACTCAGGAGGCAGAGGCAGGCGGATCTCTGTGAGTTCAAGTCCAGCCTGGTCTACAGAGCCAGTTCCAGGACAGTCACCAAAGCTACACAGAGAAACCCTATCTCAAAAAATAAAACAAAAAGTAACTAAAAAAAAAAAAAAAAAAAAAACCAAAGCAAGAAGTGTCGTATGGCTGATTTCAACACTACGACGTGTGTCGTGTATGCGCATTTGTAATTGTTTGTGGGGTCAGAGGATAATCTTGGGTGACCTTCCTGAGGCACTGTCCTTTTGTTTGAGACAAAGTCCTTACTGGTCTGGAACTCTCAAAGCAGACTAGGCTAGCTGATCCAAGAGCCCCAGGGATCCACTTGTCCCCACCTACTTACTGCCAGGATTATAGATGTGTGCCCACATCTGGTGTCATATTGCTTCATTTCTAGATTCTAACTTTCCAGGCCAGGGAGATGGAGAGGTCAGTGTGTGAAGGCTTGCTGTCAAGCCTGATAACCTGAGCCAGTGTGGTTTTGGTCTGTTAAATCACAGCAAAGAACCAAGAACATTCTCATCAAGGACTCCATTATGGCCTGCTTTCATTATACAGCTTGAGTCTGTACTTCTTTAATCTGAGTCCTTCTATAAGGGCTAGCTGCTACTTCTCTATGCACATTATCAGGACTGGGTCAGTTAGTGGCCCAGGAAGGAAAGGCAACATATGCACGTTAACAATTCCCTCCCAAGGAGCATCACATACTTAAATAGAATAAACTGACCATTTTGTATATAATAAACCACTGCCTTCTTTACATGCGTGGCAAAATGTGTGTGCATGCATGTGTTGTACAGTGGGTAGACTTGCCCATTCAGGTACATATGACCTCCACCACTCCTCCACTTTTTTTTTTTTTTTTTTTTTTTTTTTTTTTTTTTGGAGACAGGGCCTCTCACTACTGGGGCTCACAGTTTTGGCTAGATTGGTTGGTTAGAGAGGCCCTGGGATCTGTCCATCTCTGCCTCCCAGTGCTGGGGTTACAGATGCATGCTGCCATACCTAGCTTTTATGTGGCTGCTGAGGATCCAAACTCAGGTCCTCATGGATGTGCACAAGTAATGCACCCCACCCACTAAATCACTCTATTCTTGTAAAAATTTTAAGAGAATACAACACTGGAAAGGTTCAGAGTCCAAGATGAGGGGCACACTGTCTGCCAACCCTGCCTCTTAACTTCAAGGCTCAGTTTCCTCATCTGCAATAAGCAACTAAGAGGACGTGTGTCCAGGGAGAAGGATGTGAGGAGCCGAGCTGAGTCAGGTAATGGGACCATCCATGGACGGGGCTTGGCAATGCTTAGGCGGAAGCTGTGACTCTTCTGAAACGTCCCTCTGAAGACACTGTTCACCACATATGTGTATAGACAAGTGGTGAGCCATGGCAGGGAGGCAACTGGTTCATCCATGACAGAACAAGCTGTCCTGACCGAAGCGCATCTCCAGCACTGAGTGATCACACCTGGATGAGTAGCACTGACATCAGCAACTAGAGAGACACAGCTCACCTGATCTGCGAACTGACAACCAGTTTGGAGGGAGCAGCCTGGCAGCCTCGAATCTACTAAGTCAGACTTCTGAATAACAGCTGGACATGGTGGCCCGTGTCCATAATCGCAGGAATGGCCACACAGTCACACTCCATCCCCCGACTCCCCCACTGCAGAAAGTCTACCAATTATCATGGAAAAGGTGACAGCAACATCACCAAAGAGGACCACATTCCCATCTGTGCAGAAACGATTGGGCATCCTGCCTAGAATCTGACGAGATGCGTGCGGTAGGAGGCCACCTCTGACTGGCACTTACCTCACAGATGTCCTTGAGGTGCTTGATGTATACTCGCTCGGTGTTCATGATCTCCTGGATGACGTTGGTGCGCATCTGCTGCTGGCTCTCGGCGTGCTTGTGGCGGGCCTTGCTGGTGTCCTCGTCCTGCTCTTCCCCAGGGGAGCTGCTGCAGCTCTCGGGCAGCTCCTCCTGATTGACTCGAAGCTGCAGGCCACACATAGGAGGCAGGTGGCTTAGGGAAGAGGGAGTGGTAGCAGAAGCAAAAAGCAAAGACCTCCCTGGCTCTGCCCTCTGCGTCATTATCGAGTCATGGTAAGTGTCCATGGGCAGTAGCAATGCCAAGGAGGTTGTTTGCTTTCATTGCTATTCTCACTGTAATCACCTGTTTCCCGCAGGTCTGTCTGGCTCGTCTGGGATACTAAACACGAAGGCAGAAGAACTGGGCCTGGTGAAGGCTGAGACCTGCTTCAACCGCTTCTGAAGCCCCTGTCCCACGAACACCCCTGGAAACACAGAGTGAGCACCACTTACCCTAACAAAGCTTGCAGGGAACCAGGCCTCTTTGTCTTCATTCCGGCCCCACCACCAGTCTTTGTTAGAGGCTTCCAGGACCTGGATGACATCCCCAGCCTTGAAGCCCAGTTCCTGGTCGTCCATGGTCACATGGTCCCACAGTGCTTCTGCACAGACCACGCTGCCATCGCTGATGAGCTGGAATGGAGATGGAAGAACATGCTTAGCATCCAGCCATGGGGGGCAGACACATGCTAGGCGAGCTTTCTCAGGGCGACCTGCCACCTTCTACTTTGTCTGGAAAGACTCGTGCTGGCCCGGTAAACTGGTTATATGAAATCAACCGAGGCAAACAGTATCGGGTAAGTGTATGGGACCTGCTCTTAAAGGGAAACTCAGATCAACTTTAAAAAGGTGCACATACATGCCGGGTGTGGTGACACATGTCTGTATTCCCAGTATGTAGGAGTTTGAGGCAAGAGGATCCCAAGTTCAAGGCCAGGCTGGGTCATACATACAGCAAGGCTATCTCAAAGCACAATAGTATACAGAAGCCCTTGACTGACAGTGGGGTCACATCCATCATGGTAAGTCACCCGAGTCAAACAGAGCACACATTTACTCCACCACACCTAGTAACCCTATGTCAGTGCTTACTTATCCTTTTGTAGTGTGGCCCAGAACACTCCTTTCTAACAGCCCACCTAACAGCAAGGACATCGCACAATGAAGTGCTGAGTATCACCTGAGTACTAAATTGAAAGCGAGAACAGAATAGCCGTCTTATACTGCTTTAAAAAAAAAAAAAAAAAAAGTCACCAAAAGGGGAGGAGGGTTAATGTAGCGTAGCAGGAAAACAGCACCACCTGACTGTGAATATGAAACACATGGTCAATTCTAGCTCTGCCATAGCAAATCATTTCACTCTTTTCTCTGCAGCTTTGGGGATAGAACCCAGAGCCCTGTGCACTCCGTGACTGAACTGTCCTGCAGGGTCTTCATAAGCTGACCAAGGAGGCAGGCCTTGAACTCGAGCCTCCTGCCTTAGCTTTCATAGCGGGCATCACAAGCACATCAGGCCCACCGTAGTTTCCTGTCCTTTCCTCAGGGTGTTGTGAAAATGCAGACAAGTGTTTTCCATTTACATTAGCAGCTGTGAGACTCACCTGAGATGATGAAAGCTTCTAGAAAGCTGAAACGCTAGCCCTGAAGACCAGCAGCCCCTTACCTTAGTGCTTACGGGGGTGACTGCCATGAAGGCGCAAAGCTGTTTTACAGGCACGTCCCTGGACCACGGGAGAAACCCAGCTAGCTTCAGGATATGCTGAGAACTTGAGAATGGACTATCGGGTACACAAGGGAGTGCAGTACCTCATTGATGGCCAGCTGCTCCCCGCCCGGCTGCAGGTACCGAGGGTTGGCCTGGCAGAGCTCTTCATAGCTGAAGTCTTCCTCACTACCGTTGTCATCCACTAAGGCCGAAGACTCTGCACCTCCATCTGAAGAGACTGCCGGGGAAACGTCAGAGATACATGTTTTAAAGGAAGCGGGCATGGCGGCTCACACTCACATAGCAGCACTCAAGAGGCAGAGGTAGAGGAACCACAGCAAGTCTGAAGACACAATGAATTCCAGACTGGGGTTACAGGGCAAGGTACAGTTAACAACAACCAACTTATATACAGGGCAAACCACGTGGCCCCGGTAACGCTCCTCAAGGAAATGGTCGTTTTCTCTCACCCAGAGTAGGGACGTGTTAGGAAATCCCCACTGAAACCCTAACCCCGAGGTGGCAGCTGGTGCCAAGAGCAGCTGGAGTCCAGTGTCCCAGAACCTCTGGAGATATTGCCAACAGGTATTTTGTGAGTCAAGGGAAATGATGTGATTGTGTTAATATCAAAAAATTCACCTTTAAAAAATAATTAATAAAAAAAATGTGAGGGTAAGCGCTTTGTTTGGAACACTGGGTACCCAGATGTTCTTTTGGAACAAAGGGGGTCCTTTTACCGCTGCTGAGTACTTGAGACATCCTGCCTTAGCTTTCCTCTGGTACAGAAGCAGGGGCATCCCATCACCATTTTCTCCAGCAGGAGGTCTGGTGAGTGTGGGGAAGGTGGAACAAATTTCATCTGCCCCCAAGGAGCCAAGACGAGCAGCTGGTGAGCTGGAGCTGAGGGCAGCAAAGGGGGCTCAGTGCTTAACACTCAAGTGAGACACTGGCTCACAAATGGTAATAGGGAGGCTTTCTACTGAGAAAGGCTCCTCAGTAGAGCTGTACCGCCTCAGTGATGATACCGAGACAACCTCTTGACCAAGCAAGAGCGAAGGGTTGCAAAATTTGAAGCCTACATGGTACTTGACTCCACGACCAAAGGCTCCCTTAATCGAAATCTTCACTCCCAAGGATATCCATTACTTACAAACATGGTTGAAAAATAAAATGGAAATTTCCAGAAATAAACAATCTGTCTGCTAGCTTCTGTTTAAGGTGCCACAGAGAGACCCAGGGCTTTGTGCATGCTAGTTAAGTACCCTTGATTCATTCCTATAGTATATGTTTCTTATTACTGTTGTATTTCTTTATTATTGTTGTTCATCTGAACCTTGTGCCTGGAGCACAAACAGGAAAACATAGCATATGGCAGATATGATCTGAGGTTTCATGTGTCCACAGATGTGTCTTCGGTGGCCGGGGTCCTCTGCATAAGGAGCAGAAGGGGAGAATGGGAAGACTGAGGCAGGAGACTCGCAGGGCCACAGAAAACCATGAATGCTCTCTCAGTGTGTGGTTTTTATGACTGGCTTTACTATGTAGTTCAGGCTGGTCTGGAACTCATACTCTCCTTCGTTGGTCAAGGATCAACTGGCTTGCTTCTGAGTCATGAGTCGGGGGTAATAAGTTTGTAGTCCAGGGTCCCCTTACAACACTGCAAATTTCAGAAAGATAATTTTGGCAGAATGGGACAAGGGAAGGACTAAATGGCTCTGCTGCAACAGGAAGGGAAATGGTGAGGCTGGGGGGAGAGGGGGCCACTGCAGAGAAGGGGCAACCACCCTGGGAAAAGGTGGGCAGACCTGGAGTCCATGGGTGATGGAAGTCATGCTCAACTCAAGAGCAAAAGCAGATGAGTTCAACAAGGCTCTAGAAGGACTGGGGAAAGGTGTAAGGATTCAGGCATTATGCTGGCCTGCCCCATCACCTGGCAGAATGCACTCAGGCAGTACCTTGGTCAGCCCAGGAATCCACGGTTGTGTAGTCTGCATGCAGGAGCAGAGGACCCTTTAAAAGAAAGATCCCTGCCCACTTAGGCTCTCTTTCTGATCTCTCTTCCTGCTGTTCTCCTGGGGCAGACAGGACTTTTCCTGTCTCCCACTTCTCTTCTGACCTCTGTATGTCTCTGTCTCTTTACCTCTTTTCTCTTCCCTCCCCCCTCCCCTTTCTAATAAAACTTCTCTCTCAAACTCTGCCTGGCATGCTTGTCCTCCACCTTGGTCACTCTTGCCTACCATGGAATCCAAGGTTCCCCACACACTCAGTCATAACAAAAGGGACATCATAGGAAGAAGCAGTGTGGCACGAAGGAGGCCCCTCTGCTACAGCCATCCCATGAGCCTAGGCAGTTTCTTCCTGCAGCATCTGACCTGGCTGGGCCTGCTCATAGGCCTATGCTTTCTTGCCTTGTTCCTGGAGGCTAGGGTCTCCTGCCACCTGCAAACTCACAACCTTGCTTTAGTGATGCCCCTTTCAGAGCTATCCTGTCAGTCTGGAGACTGTACATCTGTACCCAGCCATACACCAGTGTTGTTGAGATTTGCATGCCAAGTCCATGAATCTTGGACAAGCTGATGGGATGCAGCTGAACTGGAGTTCTGACCCACAGTGGCTGCTTGCTTCCTGCCTGAAGAGTTCAGTCCCTTCTCCCACCCCGAGCCTGTTTCTATCCCAGGTTGCAACTAGGCAAATTCTGGCTACAGTGTGGTGAGCGGCCTTGCAAGTGCCTCGGGGAGTGAGTGAAGGTGTCCCGGAACTTGAACCCAAAGCCAAGATGCACAGGGACACTCTGAGGAGCTCCTATGCTGTCCTGCACCTGGTGTCTTTCTGACTCCCTGGGGGAAGGGCGGGCAACTGGGCACGGGTAGACATCATGTGTACGTGTGTGATGAGAGTCCTCAGCACCTGCAAGTGTCCCCCCCCCCTTCAGGGATGCAGGGCTGGGGGTGGGGGGTTGAGGTCTTGAGGAAGTCAGATCTTAGCAGTCTGAGAAATGCACTTGAGCTCATAGTACAGTGTCTGTTCCTATTCAGTCATAACTTCCATTCCCTTTCTGTGGTCACAGGCCTTGCAGGTGCAGAATGGATGGTTATCTATTACGTGATGTATTGCATGATCCTGGGGTAAATGTGTGGGATGCCGAGGAATGAAGCCTTCAGGAAGCAAGAGTAGTTTTTCTGCGTGCGTAAGTCATCTGTCTCAGGCACCAGAGACAGCACTAAAGATAAAAGCCTTTGTGAACTCAAGGTGGGGGTGGGAGGAAGCATTGCAGTGGAGACAGCAGCCTGTAGTGGGGCCGGGTAGGGCTTGCTCAGATTCATAGAAGGTTCTAACGACCGTGGGTGAGAAACATATAGACAAACAAACCCTTGGTCTGGCAGGGGCCCAGACCTGCAGAATCTTTGGATGTCAGCCAGCAGTGACCTGGCGCTGCCCAACACCACCAGCATTTCTACTTATCACATTGCAGCTGTGGCTGAGACCAGATTTAAAAAGAAAGGAAAACAAAAGGAAAAAAGAAAAAAAAAAAAAAAAAAAAAAAGAAAAAAGAAAAAAGAAAAGAAAGTCATTGGGCCTCTCAGTCAGAGCAAAGCCCTGAAAATGACACTTTCCCCCTCAAAGAAACCACTGAACAATGTTGGCCCAGCAAGAACCCTGCCACCTGATCTGTCTGTTGCTGGGAACATCAATCTTTTCTAAACCCAGAAACTATCATCTATAATCCACACTTTGCAGGCGTCTAATATCAAGGATTCACTGGAAAAAGTGCTAGACTTCACAGGAGACAGGGATGCAAAGTGACAAGGACAAATGACCAAATAATCTCTGACCTGCTGCCATAGATGCTTAAGGATGAAGTGGGTCATGAGACTCCGGCTTCCATTAGCCCAAGTACACTGACTCAGGCTCCTCACCGGCTGACTGCAGGGGGTGTGGCTAGAGGCAGAAGACAAGCAGTGTATAGGGAAAGATGCCTAGCAGGACAAGGACCACACTGACCTCCCTACACCCATCACCACGTGGGTACACAAGTGAATGCTGCAACGCAGGCATGATTATACGTCACTACTTTCCCAGGCTGCTATGCCAGTTTCACTTTCTGGCTAAAGAACCATGGGCAAAGACACTGGATCCCTTTCAAGTTCAGTCCTGCCATCTATTATGAGCAGGTTTTCATGTTTTATATACTCAAAGGCCATTCTTCTTCTCCTGCCTTTCACATCTTACCTGGACTCTGCCTTGCCCTCCAAAGGGGACAAGAACCCAGCCAGCTCCCACCTGTCTCCCAGCACTGGCCTGGGTCACCCTAATAGGCTCACTCAGCTTCCCCTTGCTGGCCTCCCTGCCTTACCACATCCACTGTCTGTTTTAGGCAGCGATTATATCACTCCTAATTCAAACTGACTCTGCACATGAGCCTTGTGGGAGAGTCAAAGCCACGTGCTTCACTATACACCCACACCCTAATCCTGGTTCTGATGGCATCCTGATGCCCCCACCCCCACCAGGACACCCCTCCCCAGACAAGACTTTTGCTTCTTGAACATCCCATTTAAAAACCACATCTTCAAGACTGTCACAAGTTCAAGGCCAATCTGGACTAAGTATGGAAACCCTGCCTCAGTCAATCAACCAATCAATCAATCAAAATAACTAAATACATTCTAAAATGAAACCGGGGGGCTGGTAAGATGGCTCAGTGGTAAAGACACCCCTGCCAGGCCTGAGGACCTGAGTTCTATCCCTAGGACTCACATGGTGGAAACAGAGAACTGACTCCTACTAGTTGTCCCGCCCTCCAGATGCACAACCACAAACAATAAATACAAGGAACACCGTACAGAAGTGCAGATATTCTTTTACTGGGCGCTGTGTCGTGGGACCTCAGTGACCTATGTCTTCTCCCTCCCACTCCAGAGCAGCACTGGCTGCCTCTGTGATGCCTGTTACTGGTAACAAGAGAGAAAACCCGTGTGACAGACAGTAAACATGTGCTGGTACCAAACCTGGCTCCCAGTGAGGCCTAAGGACATCCTGACTCGGTTTGCCTTTCTTCTTTGCCCTCCACAACCTTAATGACAACCATGATTGTGTTCCTCCTAACCCCCAGGGCTCCCAGTTCCCAGTCCCATGGGCAAGGCTTATATGTTTCATTTTTACATGTAAACACCTGTACAGAAGATGCTCCACACTTTCCAAACAAGCTGCATGTTTCCAAGAAGTTATACAACCGAG